TAGTAATTGGAATTGTATCCGTTATTTCAAATGTATTAATATTTATAAGAAGTAATGGAATATATTCAATAAATATGACGGGATGACGGCAAGGTATGCTGCAAAGGAACCGAAATGTAAAGAATATGTAGTTTTAAAACAATTAAAAAGCGTTGTATAGCCCCAAATCTAAGTTTTAAAATAATATTATTGGTAGCTCACACCACCACTCTATCCAGTTAGCTACCGTCGGCAAATATTTGTTACAGAGAGCACAACACCTTTGTGATGCTGACCACCTAGAGGCCGAGCTGCAGCATGTAAGACGTGCTCTGACTATCAACAGCCTGCCCATGCCTCGCCAGCATCGCAAGAACCAGATGAAGCCACCTACAGTTTAGCGACAACCTGCAATTCTGCCACATGTGAAGGGAGTTACTGACAGAATAGGCAACATCTTGAAGAAGGTTCAATCAAGACTATTTATAAACCACACAAGAAAGTGAGCCAATTCTTGAGACCAATCATGAGTAGCATTCCTTTATAACAAGCGGGTGTATATAAACTTGATTGTGACTGTGGCTTGTCATACATCGGAGAAACAAAGAGAAGCATCGGTACAAGGGTTAGAGAACACATCTCGGACGTCATAAATAGGCGCGCATCGAAGTCAACAGTACGTGAACATAAATTGAACAAACCAGGCCACTTCGTGGTTAATCCACGAGACTATTGAAATTAAAAAACATCAAAATTTCAATAGGGAAGATGGCTATAATCTATCCAACCCTGGGACATCGTGACCGCATTAGTACGTCAGAAAATTCAGAAATCGTTGGCGATAGATGATATACAAGACTGTCCGTGATAACAGTTGCTGCAAAGTAACTTGAACCTCGGGAGTATGTACTTAGTTTAAATAATAAATAACGCGTAATAATCCGAAAATATTAGTTTTATTTTAATGACTACTCACGCGTCTTAAATCTTAATCTTAATTTTATTATTAGAAGATAACTAAGTTGTGATGCTAAGCAAAAGTTTGTGAATTGATACTGCTGAGGTTTATGTCCTTTTTTTGGGCAGAACCCCAGGCCTGAAACTATGGAATGGATCCGATAGCTTTGATATGAAAAGTACAGAAGTTAAAATATTAATTAGAATTTTGTTTAAAAGCTATATTTATAGTTGTAAACATGTACAATTTTTTAAAACATTAGGGAGATTTGAAAAGGTGGAATAAAGAATGATACTGAACTGAATTTTTAAGGTACGTTCAAAAGTGTTACCAGTTACCAAGAGGAGATATTCAAAAGAAATAATATAATCAATAGATAGCTCCTGTGTTGCCATCATTTTGATTTATAATAGTTTAATTGAAAATGACTTCTAAAAACTAAACAGTTATCGTGGTAGCAGATTTTATAAACCTTGTTAATTGCCAGTCGTCACAGATATTTAAAGCATGAACAATGTTATTTTTCTTTTCATTGTTATGTTTGTGATAAAAATTACATATGTAAATAATAAACAAGCATATATATTTTGGGTTAAAGGGCGAGATCTCTTAATAATCTTCACTTAAAAAGCCAATCATTCGGGAACTTCGTAAGAAGATATTTAGAGTGTGCGTATAAATCTTTTATTCTGGTGTAAAATGATGTTTAATCTAGTGTCTTCAACCTACATATCTGTGAATCATTTGAAGATATATATATGCTGAAAAATTGTCAGTGTAAAAATATTGAATATATTAAATAAGTACACTGTACAAGTCATGGTAAATTCATTTAGTCACAACTTACAACACCTCGTTTTACGGTTACGGTCTGTAGAATATTAAATTTTTATTTTTCTGTAACAATTATTACCGGTGGCTAAAAATATATCGTATCGTCACATGTAAAATTTGATTACTAGATGAACTATCTAGTAAAAATATTAAAGAAATAGAAGTTAATAATATGAAAAAAAATATTTGTAAAATGATTAAAGGAATCGTTTTGTTTCTAGGCGCATCTAGTCTTTTAGATATTGGAATAACTGTTTTAAGACCGTCGTGAAGACGACGGGGACATTGACCTCTGTCGTTTTATACTATTAATAATTAGAATCAATATTATGATTAGATTCCATTAATATTATATTTTCTATGTATATCTTTAACGGTCGCTAGCAGCACTGAACGAATTACAATCTATACTAATATTATAAAGCTGAAGAGTTTGTTTGTTTGAAAGCGCTAATCTCAGAAACTACTGGTTCGAATTAAATATTTTTTTTGTGTTGGATAGTCCAGTTATCGAGGAAGGCTGTAGGCTATATAACATCACGCTACGACCAATAGGAGCAAAGATATAGTGGTAAATGTGTAAAAAACGGGAGAAATTATTTCATCTTTGAAGCCTTCCGTTGAGTGCGCCGTGAAAACGGTTCAAGATACACAAAAAATATGTATTAAAGAATGATAGCTCTATTAATAATCTAAAAAACAGTCCGCGACAGTATATGTCTATCTTTTAAGATTAACTCAATAAAACCGTTTTTATGGTACCTAATTTGGTCGAAATAATTTTATAAAATCTTTATTCAAATAAACAAATAAATATGTTTTGGTTAAGAGTACTTCATTGTGAATAAAAAAACAGGTTTTATCTTGAAAACTCTACGGGAACTCGACTATTCCGAAAACCCTGCAAGAACGGGAACTATGTGGGAAGAACCAAAAATTTGCCGGAAGTCACTACGCCACGCGGACGGAGTCGCGGCAAAAGCTAGTGTAATATAAAAGCCATTGCTCTAATACAATGATTTTAACTTTTTTATGATAATAAATTATCTACCTAATACATTGGAAGTAAATATTGTATAAGCTAGATGTGTACTCGCGAAAATCTTAGATCTCATTATATGTATAGATATTTAAACTAAACTAAAAACATAGCCCTACATATATTTTTTATGTTGTGGTAAATTGGCGGAGTAAGCTCCATCCGTGGTGAACATCAATCTGTTTGTATGGTATCCTTATTAGTAGTGTTAATGATTATATTTGATAAGCTGTTGCTGCAAGGGTTTACTCTGAGAGCCAAAACAATAATCTATGAGACTACGAGTATTCCATGAGACTTGGAGTAGTTTATGAGGTGTAGAGACTGCAAGTACTTACTATAGACTGCTGCACACTTATTATTTATTATTGTTATTGATTTTTAACTTAATATTTGTCCTGTTGTAGTTGTTATGTTATTTTATTTTCCTTTTTTGTATACATAGGATAAGTGTTTCTCTGTTTTTATTTAATGTAATCTTTTTAACCAATAAGCGTTTATTATTAAGTAACCTAAAAGTTCTATGATGGGTCGTCCTACATGTACAAGTCTGCTCGCCTTTTAATTTTTTTATCGTCTTGAGAAATGTCGAATATTTTTAGAGAAATAAACACTAGGGCATTGTGTTATGGAGAAAAAAATACTTTACAATATGAGACGTAACATCTCATCATTCAATGTATTCACGGTGCGTGTGTCGGGTCCATCGTTGTAGTGAGAGGAGCTTCAACAGTGACTGTGACTTGTGACCCAGGTGTAGGTTTGAGGATCCCTATCTAACGTTAAACGCTCACCTCCAGTGTCCAAGCTCCTCTCTCTACCAAATTTGAAAAGAAGCTACTAGGACTGCCTTTGAAGTATGTTCAAAGAATGTATTAATGTGAGTTCTGGACAGGCCCAAGTCTTTTAAAAGTTTGTAGAAAGATTTAGCTGTTATACTTCTTCTTACTTCAATATTTGGGTGTAATAAACAAATAAAACGAACAATGATTTCATTGATTTAATAACAAAAATTACGAATGCTATCTCCGATACACTAAATTACATTACACTTAAGACCGAACAATTTCAATAAAAAGAATGGACGACAAACAATACTAAAGAAAATAAAACTGATTCAAACATTATCTAAGAGTTTGAGACTTAATAACTTCAACACATTTTTAATCAACTATTGTTTACTAATCGGTGGATATAAATGGCAGGGTTTGTATGTATGTATGTGTATGGCGAATTCGGTGGACTTCTATTGTCATGAAATTACAATGTTTTTACTCTAATCACGATTTTACACAAATTATATAAAAATGCTTATCGGTCAATATAGATCTAACATTTTTGTTAATAAAAATGTTTAAATGTTTGTACACAAGCATAATAAACTTTTGCTATTTGGTTCGAAATGCACAAAACCCGCATTTTTGTACCAACAGAAGAAAAACTTAATACTATCAAAATCGTGTCAGTTAAATCTAGAAGGAGATTTAAAACGAGACGATTTATTATAAACTAAACTAATAGACGCGTCGTTCTTATAATTTCCTCTCAAACAAATTTATTATCTCTGAGAGTAAATATAAAATATATAATCTATGAACGACCCGTCTGTACATTTGTCACTCCGTAAAACCTAACTAGGTCCAAATTTAAAATTACCATTTTCAGGTAAAAAATATACAAAATAATAGTTATTCGTGTTAAAAACTTTGGAAATATGATACAGATGTAAGCGATTTAAGAAAATACATTTACAATTAAGTAAAATAAACGATTTTTTTTCTCGATGATCAACCTATCAAAACATAGAACACTATCGTTTTCGTTCCAGCGTATTATTTAACAATTTCTTCACAATCTAATATTTTCTCCTCTTCTTACATAACATCAATAAATTCCGATGACAGAGCACCCGTGTAATATGTAGACCCAAAACTAACATATTATTTAAAACACATATAAATATAGCTTTGGATGTATGTATTACACGAACATGTAACACCTGCACTGTACATCGAAATTAACACATGATATGACATATATATTGAACATACTATATAACATATAATATTAACCCAGTACTATAACGGCCGATATCACACCGATAAAAACACACTCGACTTTTACAGTACTGTGTTATAACTTATATGTTCTGTGTCGAGCCCCCCCCTAGCCCGGTAGCGACGTCACGTTCTACACGATGACGCACTTCCGGCTATCCTTGTCTGTATGCTCGGCCTGTAGGACCGGTCTGGGCGTAGGGACCTCGTGTTTAAGAGCCTCGGGGTCAAACGCCTCAGATGATACAGGTGCTGAGAGAGGCAGATCAGTGTTGATGCCGACGATCTGTAAAGTACATATACATACATACATCTGTAAACTATATAGTTATTATTACATAAGTTGTGATGGCCTAGTGGTTAAAGGCACGCCTCTCGTGCATGAGGGAGGTTCGAAACCTGTCAAGTACCAATGTGATTTTTCCGAGTCATATGTACTCAAAGAGTATTTAGATAACACTGAATGATGAAGGAAAACATCGTGAGGAAACCTGGACTTATCAAATTATAAGTTTGTAATCGCCAACCCGTCTTGAGCAGGCGTGGTGATTAACGCTCTAACCTTCTCCATGTGAGAAGAGGTTATGGGGTCTTCCATATATTATGTCATTCTAAATTAGGGAGGGGGGTTCGGTCTTCGGATGACGGTAAATGATAGATAGGGGGGTTTTTGAAATAGTCATTGTTATTCATTTATTTATAGTTTATTTTTCACGTACAAAAAAATAATTTCTAAAAAGAAATTTCTTCCAGCACACCCAGTAAGTGAGACTGCAAATGTGAGAGGAGGCTAAGCCGCGTACAATACTAACATGACTCATAATAAACATACATAATGCAACATAGATGTACACAAATACAGTAATAATTACAGATAAAATACTCTAACAATAATATTAACATATAATACTGGCTGCCTAACATTACTCTAACATATAATACTGGCTGCCCGCCCCGACTTCGCCCGTGATACTTACATGTATTATACATATAAACCTTCCTTAAGAATCACTCTATCTATTTAAAAAAACCGCATCAAAATCCGTTGCGTAGTTTTAAAGATCTAAGCATACATAGGGACAGACAGCGTAAGCGACTTTGTTTTATACTATGTATTGATAATAAACACAATGCTTAAACAATAACTACAACATTACATAATTAATAAAAGTACATAAATACTATACTTATACTTAAATACATGTCTCATACTAAGGAAAGATAGTGTTCTTGTGATATTTTGCAATTATTTAATGGTATTAATTATTGAACTCATTATTTATGTATTTAATGACGTAAATTTTGGGAGAAGGGGCGGGGGCATTTAGAAATGACGCTAGGATGATTGTAGGGAAGTCTAAAATCTGCAAAAATCGATATATGATATTATATGATAATTTATGGACGGCCCCTATACCAGTGGGCTCTGATAGGCCGATAATAATGATGATAAATGCAAATTTTAACTATTATAAGTAAGTGATAATGCCAGTATTCGTAATCAATATCGTCACCGCAAATCCAATAAGGTCTATTGACTTAGTAATATGATCACTTATTAAGTTTTGTTTGGAAACATTTAACTAATGGCTTTAACTTATAATCCTACTAATATTATAATTGCAAAAGTTTGTGAGTTTGTGTATATGTTTGTTACTTCTTCACGCTCAAACGGCTGAACCGATTTTGATAAAATTTTGTATACAGGAAGCTAATGTCTAGGAATAACACATAGGCTACTTTACGACCCGGAAATCTTGGATAACACCGCGGCGAACAGCTAGTAATACTATAGATGTTAAAGTGATATTATTTATATATTAATATAGTTGTACTAGTTGTATACCTCGGCGTGACTCCTAACAGGTATAGTAGTAGTCGCCATTCTGAAGGGCCGTGTGAGTTTTTCCACAAGTCGGGCTCTCTTGCCGCCCTCAGCCTCCGCCCCGGCGCCTTCGCCCTCCGGACGACGCTTGCGACCCACCACCGTACCTGTGGGACGGACCGGGGCTTCGGACGCTGGAATATATAGGATTATATGAATATGATGCACCCAACGAGACAAGATAAATTATGTAAATAACATTGATTTTATAGAAGAGTACATGTAAACGATGTATCAGATATTTACTTATATACTGTTTATATATGTGTAATGGTTACTTAATTATGTAATTATGATTAATGCATTCCCAAAAGATGGTTGATGTCAGGCAGGCGGCCGGTCGTAAAAACAAATAGCCAAAACTATTCACAACATGTTTTATGAAAGAGAAGAATCTGTTGTGCCGATCCTACATAAAGTGGGATCAGGGCAGGAAAAAATGTATAATGGTTATTCAATATCTTTATATATATAATTCTTCTGTGTGTATGTCACTGAATCTCTCTCAAACGACTGGACCGATTTTGATGAAATTTTTTGTGTGTTCAAGGGTATCTGGGAATGGTTTAGATTCACAATTGTGTTCGTTGGACAATGTTTTTTTAATTTATTTTTAATTTATAAGTAGTTGTTGATACAAACGTTTCTTTTGACATTAGATTTGACAACTAACTAATATGTCAATCATTCTGTCGCACTTCAGAACACGGAGATTTATGGCTTTGATAGGTGAACTCCAAAAATATATACAAAAACGTAACAGATATTTCTTGATTATAGGGCGATACGAAGTTCGCCGGGTCTTCTAGTATATATATATGTATATATGCTCACAGTGTCCCGGGTGGGCGTGTCTGTCGAGGGGCGTGTCCCGCGAGTCCTTGTAGGTCTTGTAGGACCGCCGGCCCCGGATGCTCCTCAGGCCGCTGAAGTAAGAGGCCTCGGCCCACGAGGACTCAGTGATGTCCATCTCCATGGTACTGTTGTTACCTGGAAACACACACCAACATGTTAAATACAATGTGTTTCATAATAATAAAATATAATAATAATAATTTATTTCAGACCATATTGTAGATCCATATAGTGTTAGTACAAATAAAACTTAATAAATGAATTGGTTAGTAAATTTACAAAAGAAAAGCAAAATAATACACAGTGAATGATATGGTTATTGTATCATTTGGAATATATTTTTACTTCCAGTTATTAATATTAATGCATACGTTTACTACATATAAATATTTTTGAAACTTTATTACTAATATCTTGATATATCAGTCTGTTTTCAGTCAAATCTGAAGTACCAGTTCAAATATTTTTGTATCTTTATTAAACTACCTTCGTCACTCGACGTCAGAGAGTCAGTCAGTCAGTCGGTCATTGTGAGTCAGTGGGTCACGTACCTGTGTAGTCTGCCAGTAGCGAGCTGTCGTCGTGCAGGCGGCGGTAGGGCGACACCTTGACCCTTGACCTCGAGTAGTTGGTGTCGACCTTCACACGCTCTGCGGACACGCGTCACACTACACACACACTCGCTCGGTCCGATAACACACATTTAATATGACACACACGCGGACCCGGGGACAAACAATCAATTGAGATCTAAATATATATATAAAGACAGATTTTGGTTGAATTAATGATAAATATAATATTGTGCCTGGTACATATAAATACTATGCCATTTGATTATATCATTCAGTACTGTAATACACTTAATTAAATGGACTCTTGATATTACAGTCTTATTATTTCACAACTAAATAGTAAGCACAATAACATTCTTTTTATGTTATAACAATAAAGGGATCAACAAATTACAATACAGATACCATATACATACTGTACAGGTGTTTATCATCAGGTGGTGGGGAGGGGATGTATAGTATATATATCGTGTGGGTCGCGGCCTCACCTTCAGTGTCCCCGTGCGTGTCGCCGGGTCGAGTCTCCTCCAATATTGTAGGTGTATCATTCTTCCTCGGTGATTCCTTCTTCTTGTCAGGTTTGGGCGAGCCTGAAGATCGCAGCTTACGGTCTGATAGAGGAGTGTCCTCTTTCAACTTGAGAACCTTGGACTGTTATTAACATATTGGTTAACTTAATATACTTAATTATCTTTCATTATTAAATTATTAAACTTGTAATAGAAAATAATATGAAAACCTTTTATATAAGTCATCATTAAGATGGTCCCGTAAACTAATTGGTACCAAAAAAATGTTATACAATCTGTTATGTCCTTATAAATGCATCGATAGAAATACAATCTATTAACATGGAGTATAACTAATTTAAGATATTACATATAATATGTTTAAGCAATGTTTTATACAGAACAATAAAATTTTAAAGAACAAAAAATATAAACCGACTGGGGAAAACAATTACTCAGGCTTATTACAATAGGAGCCATTCAGCGAATATGAACAGATGTCAAATCAATAGCATAACGAGAATATGAATAAAATAATTATCAAGAAAAAAGTGAGGCAAGGAAGAAAAATATATAGTATTTAATTAGCCATTTATCGGTAAAAGAAACCTTATTTTACTCAATTTCTTCTGAAGCTTTGTTAGTATTAGATAGTTAGTGACAAAATAACCAAAACATGAGCTACATAGATGTCAGTAACGGAAAACTAAGTTTAATTAGTAATGAACATAATGTTACAATTACATTTCTTATCTATCTTGCGTGCCTGTGTCCCTGTGGTGTATGTGTTGTGTCTGTGTGACGTAGACACGTCCTAGTGGTTTTTTTTTTATGTGAAAGCTGGCAAACGAGCAGACGGCCCACTTGATGGAAGGCGGTTACCGCCGCCCATGGACATCCGCAACATCTTTGTTGCGGATGCGTTGCCAACCTTGATTTTTAGGGATAGGGAGGGGTGGGAATAAGGAAATGGTAGGAAAGGGTGGGAATAGGGAAAGGGTAACCGGTTCTCTCACTCATCAGACGAAACGCAGCCTTTGAAGGCTACTTCACGCCGATCTTCTGTGAGAGGGTGGTACTTCTTCGGTTGAGCCAGTATATGTTCGAGCTGTAGTAACTTAACAGCTAGGTACTACCACCTAAAAGTGTGTGTTGTGTCTGTGTCACGTACATAGGTCCTTGTGGTATATGTGTTGTGTCTGTGTGGCGTACATAGGTTCTTGTGGTGTATGTATCGTGGCTTGTCTCATATACTCACGTCCTCATCCCGTTCCCTCTTGTCGGAGGCGGGGCGCGGCGTCTCTGGCGTCCGAGCCGACTTCACCTTCACCACACAATTAACAATCACCATTAATACAAACATAAACTGAAATAACTCCGACACAACGTACGGGGATAACGATCAATTTATATTTGTATAATCGATACAAACAGATTAATGGTATATTAGCATTCAAATTCGACAGTAATGTCAAGTTATAAAAAAAATAATTAAGTTTTGTGGACAAATAAAACGGGTATTTGCAACAACACTATGATAAATAAAATAAAAAACAATGAAATACTCACACAGTGCAGATCAGAAAGACAACCATTCACCAAACTTGTTATTAATATAATATAACCAAACACCTCAGTCAATACAATTTTCTCAATAAAAAAAACTTTTTTTCACAAAGAAAAATTGCATAGACCGTTAAAAAAAATAAACACTTACCTTGCGTACGAGAGAAAAAATAAACAATAAAACGAAGGATAGGTGCAAGAAATTAAGAGAAAAGAAAACTATATCTTTAAAAAACTGCCACTCAAGAACTAAAATCCTTCCGTACATACTATCATACCAAATTCTTTTAAAAGTTTACTTTGAACATTTTATTGTTATTTTCAGAACAGATCCATAAACATAAAAAATAACGATCAACTTTATATGAACACTCATAGTTATCGTGCTATTCAACTATCAGTAACTTTAATAATTCTGCACAATAGAATCTTAATTTTTATAAATTTTATTTGATACATAGTCGTCTTTAATTCAATTAAACGACTAAAACTAAAAGTTAGCCCGTTCTTAATGAAATTTCACCCAACAGCGACTAACAAAACCTAAACAAAAAAACGAAATAAAAAAGTTATGAATTATTTCTATCTACTCTCAAGTCAAACACTCTCGTAAACTTTCACCAATAACGAAACAATAAAAATGTGGCTAAGAATTTCTATCTACCCTCAAGTCTAGAGCCTCGTCAATGTGAACTCTTTCCATCTACCCACCTGTGACCTCCTGGTGTAGCTCCTGCCCTCTGGTGTCGGCGGCTCGAAGTCTCCGTCCGAGTCGTCGTATGCCAGCTCCGGGAACATGTCGTCCCGGTCATCCTCGTCCTCCGAACTCACCGTGTCCCCGTTGGTCGCGTCCCCGTTCACACCGTTCGTGACGCCCGCGACGTTAGCCACGTTCGTGACGTTAGCGCCGTTCGTGACGTTAGCGCCGTTAGTGACGTTCGCGGCGTTAGCTACGTTAGGTACGGATGACTCCTTGGACTTCGATTTAGAGCACTCGGCCTCGGGCTGGTGTGATAGATGGACTTGTTACTATGTGATATTAAGTAATCCCTACTGATATTATAAATGTGAAAGTAACTCTTGTCTGTCTGTCTGTTACGCTTTCACGGCTCAAACAATTAACTGATTTTAATGAAATTTGGTACAGAGATAGAGTTGACCTTGAGAAAAAACATAGGACAGTTTTTATGCCAGACTTTTGAAAAGTTCTCTTAGAAACGCGATATAACCGAACACCACGCGGGCGAAGCTGGGCGGAAAGCTAGTTAGTTTATAAATTCATTCCCACTGAGCTGTTGTACTAGAGCTAGGGTATCCTTATACATTTCATATTGATTTTAATGTACCTAATATAGATCTCAATATCTCACCTTGCCTGTTTCTTTCGCAGCTGAATCTTCTTTCGCTACCTCGGCCGGAGCAGGATCTTTTTTGTCCGATGATTTCTCCTTTTTCTCCTGTACTTTTTCAGTCTCCTTCTTTTCTAAATCTTTCTTGTCCGCAATTTTCTCCGTCTTATCTTTCTTATCTGTATTCTTGTCAACTTTTTCCTTCTTGTCCGGTTTCTCAGCACTCTTATCTAATTTCTCCGTCTTTTTCTCTACCTGTTTCTCAGCGACTTTATCATTTTTCTTCTCATTTGTTTGCTTGTCGCTAACTTTCTCTCCTTTCTTGTCACTTTGTGTTTTCTCCGCTCCCTTGTCTATCTTTTTGTCTGTTTGTGTTTTTTCTGCGTTTTTCTCGGCCGCTTGCTTTTCTTTCTCAGCATTCGCTGCTAATTTCTTCTTCATGTCTTTAACCGGACTGTCCGTTTGTCTCTGTACAGGAATATTATTTATATATAAACAAAAGATTTTTTTCTGATTCATTTAAATATTTTATTATAGTAAATTTTACTAGATCATTAAATTCGACCTGGTTTCTTCTTAATTTCAAAGTAATACAATACTTTGTAAAATGTACAATAATGAAATATGCGAAGCAAATCAGAAAAACATATATTTTAATTTCTACATATACAGGGTGACTGGTGAATTACTATCGATACTTGAGGACGTGATATTTGAGGATCAAATATGACAAAATAAAAATTAATATAACATAAATATTAATAAGCTTCTAAGTAAAGTTAACCAAAAGTTATGTAATTAATTACGCATCGTGTGAACACCCTACAGATTAGGTACACACACACACACACACACACGCGTGCGGCGGCGTGGTGTTTTATCAGCACGCGTCTACACTTGGAACACTTGGAACGTGTCCACGCTTTATTTATTTATACGGAAATTTTGTCAAAAATTAAGTACCTATTTTTTTTTACATAATTCGAATGAGAATCATGTACCGAGTATTCTCCTTAAATATTGATAGTAATTCACCAGTCACCCTGTATATTATTTTATATTTACCTTATCTTTATCCTCCCCCACCGGTCCCTTGCGTGTCACAATCTGGCTCATGACGTACCTTTAACATAATATTTACAATAAATATCCATAATTTTTTTCTCCAGTACATTAATATAGCTGATTCCATATTTTTAATTACATCAATGTATCTGATTCATCAGTGCACAGTTCATTGACCCTGCACCAAACGCACTCTACGACGTACGTGCATCATTACAATGCAATCTATTGTTGATTGAATTACAAACTAAACTGAATTCGATATTCTTGATACAGAAAACTGTTCATATATGTTAACATGAAAATTATTCAATAATTTATAAGATTTGAGACCATTTTTTAAATATATGTAATTATATTTATTTTTTTACTTGTATTATTATACAGGGTGACTGGTGAATTACTATCAATATTTAAGGAGAATACTCGGTACATGATTCTCATTCGAATTATGTAAAAAAAAATAGGCACTTAATTTTTGACAAAATTTCCGTATAAATAAGTAAAGTTTTGACACGTTCCAAGTGTTCAAGTGTGGACGCGTGCGGCGGCGTGCTGATACAACACTACGTCACGACACGCGTATGTGTGAGTGTCAGTGTATACCTAATCTGTAGGGTGTTCACACGATGCGTAATTAATAACATAACTTTTGGTTAACTTTACTTAGAAGTTTATTAATATTTATGTTATATTAATTTTTATTTCGTCATATATGATCGTCAAATATCACGTCCTCAAATATCGATAGTAATTCACCAGTCACCCTGTATATTTTGTTTAATAAATTCTTAATTGTTTCATTAGTTTATCTTTATTATTGTTATAATTCAGATAACGACATTGACAATGAGACGATCGATTGACCGAAAAATATTAATACAACGTAACTATAAAGTATACATATTGTTGAATAATATATATTTTTATTTATTATTTTTAAAATAAATAATTTTGGCTTTCTTTTTTTTAAATGATACTTTATCGTTTAAGTATATCTAATAGAGAAAAATTGTATATTTTTCTAGTAACGACAACCTCAACTAAATTCAAGGGTAGGCAAAGAAAGTCTCAAATATAAGAAGATGAAAAGAAATATAAGAAGACGGTAACTTTCTTGTAAATTAATTAATATTTTTTAAGTTAATGATGACATCATAAACTTTCATTCAATCATTTTAAATTATTAACTGTTTTATATACATATGTATAATAATTTTAACATCAACAGATACTTATTTTAAATTACAAGGTCGACTAAATAATGTTCAAAGTAATATTATTTGATCGAAGACAAAGAACTATAGTTGACCAACTCATTGTATTGAGTCGTGGGCGAAAATTATAACAATTCAAATAAAACGTACTTGAGGTTAGTCCTTTCAGTATTAATCAATTAAAGGCCGTGAGGCGTTTTAAATTTTAACCGACTTCAAACAGATAATTCACATCCACGCACTTTGAATTTGATCTCCCGTGACGTAATAATTTATTGAAAAATATGGATATTACTTTGCTTTAAATTCCTCTAATTATTTCTATATATTTAAATGATAATTCATAAACTAAATCAAACATGAAACACAAATTTAATTCGCCCTCTTTAACATACAAAAAACATTTAACTATAATCAAAAAAACAATAAAAATGGTATAATGATTTTAATCTCCCCTTGCTAAACTTTACAAATGTTTTTTTCCCGCTTTGTTCAAACCGTGACTATTTTCATTAAGCACACCATCATATAAACCAGTTTTTTTTTATTTATTTCCTGTATAAAATAATAATTACGACGGGATCAAAAGAACTAACGAAACCTCTGTCGTTTCATTACTCTGTGTTACATCGAGCACATTTAACATATATTTACAGACTTAAAATGTTTTAGACAGGGCACATTGAAATTATATGTATAAAGATAACTAATTAAACATTTAATTATGATTTAACACTTCAGAAACATGAAAGTACATATTTTATTAAATATATTGTTAAGTGTTAATGGTTAAGTATAACATACAGAAGATTTTAAAATACCACCATATTCTGTTTATAGATTCGTGTACCACAAGCTACGATGAAAAGCATAAATAACCATTGTTAATCTGTTAACATAACGATAAAAGGATTATTTGTTGATATTATGGACGACCCCTCTGTACGTATAAAGATCTACGCTACACATGAATAGACGAAGGGTGAACGAACTCTGGTAAAAACACTACCAACAAAATGTCTTCCCTAATTGATGAGCTGTAGCGTTTTTTAAATGTCAAGATTTTGGCATGAGGCACAATATAAAAAAGATTTTTTTTTGTTGTTAAGATTGTTAGATTTATTTAATTTCTTATTTAACATTTTCCATATTAGACGTGCATATTTTTATTTAATAAACATATGTATACTAAACAAATAAATTAAGTATTTTAAAACACGATTTAATATAAAATCGCTGGATCCCAACACATGTACCACACGACACACACAGACACAGTGTTTGAACACATGTAGGTGAACGAGACACGCGTGTACTGATGTATTAGATGCTTCTAGAATGGTACTTCTACACTTCAAGGACGACCATTAGAAAAAAAGGTTCCATATTTATCTCAATATTCTGATTATATAATACACAGGCATTAAACATAAGTTCGGTTTTAAACTATTGTATTACCAACTTGGTAAAATTACGTCCAACTTAATGTATTAAAAAATAGAAGATAATATAAGAAGAATATCTTTGCGCTTACTATTACTTTATCATTTACAAACCTTCGCAAACTACATATATAGTATTAACGTAGATTGAATGACAAACGGGAAACGCCTCGTATGTAGGGTGACGATAAAAACTTATGGTAAGTTAACCGATCTAAATATTGAATGATAGTCATTGATTTTTTAAAATATTGTTTTCAAACGCATTATATTTTTTCGTTAAAGCTTCACTCAGAACGTCTAGTCCCGTACGAATGTTATTTTCAGTATTTTAAATTAATAAACAACTAAGTCAGCAACAATCAACTCTTTTTTACACTCTGCATTTTCGTGTAAAATAAAAAATTGCTAAATTATTGACCTTTAAAATCGTGCGCGAATTATTTATACCTACATACTTGATAGTTTAAAATCAAACAAGGTTTAAACATTCACATATGATCCTACATCAAAGAAAACTACAATAATATATATTTAACATATTTTTACTCTACAATTATTATCATGTTATATCTCTGTCATCTCTAACTTAACTTACAAGTGGTTTGTTTCAACATGCAATAACCCAAACACACATGGCACTGCATAAAAAAAAGAAACATGATTTTAGTACTAAGTTTTGTTTATATATCTTTTGTCTGGTTGGTGTGTATTTTTTTTTAACTAATAAATTAAAGCTAGGAGTTGACTTAACAATTTACTATATACTGAGATGTGTGATTTTTTATTTGTTTTTTGTTCTAAGTGCTGGTAAAAATATTACTTGTCATCTTTAAAAATAATAATAGTTAAATAAATGCCTAATTTCATTCCACAAACTTCTGTGTTTCCTCCACACAGTACTCAAAATCATAATTCGTCCAACAAATTTTTTGGTCTTGGCAAAATATTCCACAGTTCCAGTATGAATGAAGCCATAGAAAATATTACTTAAACATCAACATTATTAAAAAAATTTGATAGTGTTGAAATACTATTTAATCTTATAAAGGTATGTCTGTTTGTGACCTAATTCTATATCAGTAGATTGTAAAGAAAATAGTTAACAATGTAAAAAAAAATAGTAACAAAAATAAATAGATATAAATTGTAATATATTATTGAAAACAACTTTACTATGAAAATTACATTAGTTTTTTTATTTATTATAATTATTTTTAACAGAATTTCAAATTCAAGTTATATATTAATATTGAATCTTCTTCAACCTGTCAATTTCCCAAATTTAGCCAGGGTCTGCCTTACATGTTGTGAATAGTTTTGGCTAATTGTTTTTACGACCGGCCGCCTGACATCAACCCTCTTTGGGAATAAATAAATAATATTGACATTGAATATATATTTTCAAGTTTTTAAAATAATCAAGATTTTTCGTTTTTTAAAAATATCTTTTACAATATATACATAGGAAACCTTCATTGGATTGGTGCCAGTAAGAGTAATACTAATTACATCCAAAAATAATTTTAACTACTATTAGTAAAATTGCTGATACAAAATAAATATTTATTTCTTAAGTCATGGAATGTTTAAAATGTTCAAAAATAGTAATAAATATTGATATAATGACAATCGTCATAAACAAACTACCTTTTGTCATCAATTTCGTTTTCCTATACTGTTTCAGACAATTCTAATATGAATAATACAGAAAACAAGCAAAGGAAAACTCGCAAAAATAAATATTGTTACCAGGTTATATTATGATAATAATTACATGATATATAATTTATATATCATATTATATTTTTATAAATACTTAGTAACATAATAAAACAATTAGACAAAACTATTTTGAACTAAGGCAGACCCTCGCTAAAGCTGGGAAGTTGTCAGGAAGAAGAAGATAAAGGATATTTTAAACCAGACAACTAGTTTTACACAAGAAAATAAATAAACCTATATAAATAATAAAGTAAGTAGTTAGTTACAACGCTGTGTATTGACAAAAAGACTGACAGGAAGTAATGGACCCGGACGATTCTACTGTATAGAATATTAATTATATTTAAGACAACATAACACACAGTTAATATATATGTTTAATATATAATATTTTTAATATTTTATAATTGTGACATAATTATATGCTACATAAATACATACAATTATATTAAATTGAAGTACATATATTTTCAAATTGTGTTAAGTAGAGAGGACCTTGGACAGTGGAGGTGAGCGTTTAACGCATTAGTTAGTGTCCCTTAAACCTACACCTGAGTCACAAGTCCCAGTCACTGTTGAAGCTCCTCTCACTACAACGATTGACCCGACACACGCACCGTGAATACATTGAATGATGAGAAGTTTCGTCTCATCTTTGTTGAATTTGATGTTTTATAGATATAGTTACATTATATATAATTTTAAAACTCCAGATGATAAAAAAAAACAATATTAATATGTTATATAATGAAATGCATATATTATTGATAGGGTCATGATAACACACCTTGAGATGTACATACATTGCCAGCCATATCAACAGTTATCATTCATAAATAAACTATATTATGTAACATATACATATATATTTACTGTATATGGGTGTATGTGTGTTATATATATTTATTGATTTCCCATCTCAATAAAACTCAATCAAATTGGTTAAATATGAGCATGATTTAAGTGTGTACCTATGTATATAAATATAATATATGGATTGAAAGTTAAATATATTTGTCAATATATTCTATAAAATAAATTAAATATCACATCCCACACAACTATAATACTTTTCCAATTGATAAAGGTGGTGTTACTAGCTTTCTATATTTATTTACTTTGGACAACTTTCTTTATACAGAAAAAACTAGCACATCAAGTGATTCGTAACAGTAAATTAATTACTTTTAACATATATAAACATGTATATGTTGAAACAGATGATCTATTTAAAGTTAAATATACTAGTAAAATAATATAACTTTATTTAAGTATTCTTCTTTCTGGCTATTTCCCAGCTTTAGCTAGTGCCTGCCTCTAAATATAACTTTATTTAAGTATGGACAGGAAAATGTAACAAAGAAAATAAACCTAGTCTGCATAGTTAAAACCAACAAAGTCCTCTTAGTAAATATTTAAGCAACATATTGTTAATCTGTAAATATATTCAATAGTACTTAGGATGGCCGTCTCATATATAATAGAAAATTCATTTCATATATTAGCAAGTCTAATAATACATTCTATGAACAAAACTCGAGACCCTTTCAAACCTAGGTTGAATACAGAATGCAAATACTGAATACTTAAATGTAAATTTGAGTTAGTTAGTGTTGACTTATATTTGAATAGTACATTGTATAAAGCTTTCTTATTATTATGATGTATAAATACATTTTTAATTAATTTATTTTATCCTATTAAAATAAGGAAAAGATTGATAATAAGCAATAAGACCTCATTGTTGTATAAAATGTTTTTTTAAGTAAATATTTCGTTTTTAATAATTATGATACAGAAACTGCAAATATGTAACGAAAATATAATATGCCTATTAAATATTTTATTACACTATACTTATAGCTTTTTTTTATCAATGAAATACACAAAGCCAAGCTTGTGTTACAATATGGTTGAATGATTTTTACACTTCAGCGATCTTAAAGGATCTCACTTCCTTCATGACTTTATAAAATTATGTCACATTAAATGGACAATGAAGAGATTATATTACTACTACGTATACTTATGTAACACAGAAGTTGAAAAAAGTAGGGAATTTTTACGAAAGTATGAATGAAAGAATGAAAATACTAACGATATTTTGATTTACTTTCTTTATAAATTTATTTCGATTAATATGAACGTTATTTCCACATTTCTTGTTGTTTAAATGAATTATTAAGTTATAAATTTATCAAGGTTTATTTAACATTTCAGTAATTCTAGATTTTCTCTTTGTATTAGGTTTATTAATATAAACACTAGATTCTTATCGCTTTTTACGAGTAAGGTCACGGTCGTATGATACTTCCTAGTTTTTTGCGAGTAATATTCGGACAGGTTTTTCTGTTTGCAAGTTACGTGAATGTGATTCGTAATACTTGTTGCGGACGATATAATTCGATGAGTGATACCAATTACTACTGAGTAGGAGCTAGGACGCTTTAAATTTGTTTATAACCTTTATAGAATATTTGTTTGACATGTTTTTATTTCAAAATTCTTTATATAAGGATTTTACATGATAAATATAAAACTTTATAACTTATTGCTTCTAATTGAATATAATTTAAAACGAAAATTTAATTGAAAGAATGGCGGGCGACTGTACCATGGCGCGCGTTTTATCTTATTAGGTAGTTTAAAAGTACTTACGTTGTGTCACAACCTTTTTCACTGATTAAATGTTTAAACACTGAACTAAATCACTATTTATAATTAGATGAACATCAAATATAACGAAAATTTACTAGTAAAGCGTCTTTGAAATTCATCATATCTCAGCGGTACAAACTAAAATGTGGTGGTGCTGCTATTTTTAATATTTTTTTATGAAAGTTGCCATATAACTTAATAGTTGTAAATTAATGAACATAATTATAGAATAAATTTAAACTTTTCATAAAATTTCTTAAAATCAAATGTTAAAAATGCATTTTATTTATTAAAACTATCTTGATTTATAGTTTCTAAAGGCTAAGTCAGAAGATCGTATCTTTTCAATGTTTGGCAACGACAACTCAAACGTCAAAGAAATGTGCATGGTTTTGCGAATAGTACCATGTGGAGACAGTGCGGAGTTTTACATTTTTAATAATAAATAAAAAAGTCGTCTTTTGAATATGGACTACGTTGTAGGCAGTGTGGCCTCTTTAATATCTGGTAACGTGACGCCCAATCGTCCAAAACGATTAAAGAAACCTCTTACACCTATGAAACATCAAGCTTCTCCAAACGTGACTCCAAAAAGTCAATTGGTGGACGATAAATCTGTTTTCCTTTCACCGACAATGCAAAAGAAGAAAGCTATTGTTAAGAAATCACCCAAAAGGATATTTCAGAATGACCTTGATGTAACAAATGAAGAAGGAGAATCAAACTTTTCGAGTCCGAAAGCCGACAAGGTAAAAAAACATTTAAAAGATGAATTAGAAACAGACAGTCAAGTTTTGAAAAACTCGAAATCGCCAAAAAACAATGATAATGCAATAGCAGAGAATGAAAATTCCTCAAAAAAGAAAAAGAATAAAAAGAATTCATTAACAGTATCTGAAACCGAAGCGTTAGCAGATGAGAGTATTGAGAATAATAAAGAAAATAATGAAAATGCGGATAATATTGAACAGTCCAAGTCTAAAAAGAGAAGGAAGAGATCAAAATCAGTATCAGAACAGGAAGACACACAAGTAAATGAAAATGTCGTAAAACCTGACGATTCCACTGAAAATAAAAGTCCTAAAAAGAAAAGGAAATCTAAAGCATCATCAGAGAAACAGGAATGTGAACAATCAGAAAATGTTACTCGTGATAACAATAAAATTGAGAATGAAGAAAATTTAGTTGACAAAAATGAAAGTAAGAGCCCTAAAAATAAAAGGAAAAGATCAAAATCAGTGGCTGAGAGGGACGCAGAGAATGATATAAATGAAACAGATTCAAACAGTAAAGTCGAAAAATCTGAAGACTCCAGTGGAAATAAGAGTCCTAAAAAGAAAAGAAAGAAATCAAAATCAATAGCAGATCCAGAAATTGAACAAAACCGTTCCAACATTGGAAAGACTGGAGATGAAGATAATAAACACAAAAACAAGAAGAAAAATAAGAAATCATCAAAGAAAACTGAAAACGCAAGTGGAGTAAACCCTAACGCGATTACTAACAAAGATTCAGACTCCGAGCACGAATCTGATGATGAAATGCACTCGGAGAACGAGGAAGAAAATAAAAAAACACTCAACACGGATCCCGCTGAGGAGAGTTCTGATGAAGAAGAAGCTCCTAAAAAGAAAGAAGTAAATAAAGAAAAGAAAGAAGATAAACAACAGCAGGACACAGAAGATGAGATTAAAAGAACTATATTTGTAGGCAACGTTCCCTTCAGCAGCAAGTGTAAGAAAGAATTAAAGAAGATTTTCAATCAGTATGGACAAATTGAAACTGTTCGGTAAGACTTTATCAAACATTTATATAGTTTTCAATAAAACTATTAGATTTGTCATATGTATTGTGCTAAGTAGCAAACTGAATGACAACTTCTAATATAATAATCTACCTACATTACAATTGACATACTATTATTATTATAACATTATTATAACAATACCGGGGAAGCATAACATAATAACACACACACACACACAATCATACAAAAATGCACCTATTCTATTCTATTCTATTCTAGTTATTAATATGTTTGAGTTACCTGTGTAATCCTATTTTAGTTTTAATTTTATGCTATATAATAGTTAATATAGAAATTTATGTATAAAAACTGTTGGATTACCAAATAAATAAATTAAAAAAATAATAATAATTTATTGACATTACATATAAGAATGAATTTAATATAATTTTGTTATTCAGGATTCGGACTGTGCCAGTCAAAGATGCCCGAGTGACTCCGAAGATGGCCGTCATCAAGAACGAGCTACATCCCGACCGAACTACTGTTAATGCTTATATCAAGTTTGCTGATGCAGCCTCCGTTAGTAAGGTAAATTAATGTACATTTGCCTCATAATAATTTCAATTTGTATATTCTTTTATTTGATTAACTTAGAAAATCTTTCTTCATTTAATTAAAAAGATATTTTTTGTACAGTTAATTAATTAATTGTGTTTTTTATTCATACAATATATAAGTTTCAATAAGCACAAAACAATATGTAAAACAACACCATAAAATTAAACCAATACATTATAATCACTTAATTTATATCCTGCTTCTTTAAAGAGATTATCATACCAATTTACTGAATTGCTATATTTTTGTTTGTTTATGTAGTGAGCACAAACAATATGTAAATAACACAATAAAAATCAACATACAAATATTTAATAAATAAATAGCCTATTTCATTAAAAAGATAATCATACTTATTGCATTGCTATATTTTTTTTTCAGGCGCTGGTTGAAAACAACACCCTTTTAAACGGCTGCCACCTCAGAGTGTCTCGTAGTGACAGTACAGGAGCCGAACACGATCCTAAATGTTCAGTGTTTGTTGGGAACATACCGTTTGCTCTCGAAGATGATGGTTTGAGGGAGAGGTTCGAGAAATGTGGAGAAATAGAATCGGTCAGAATTATAAGGGATAAGAAAACTAACGCTGGAAAAGGTTTGTTATATATATGTTTAGTATTCATTACTTAACCAACATACTTTATAATTGAAGTTGATTTTGAAGCTGTAGTTTTACTTAGGAAATACTCTTAATTATAATTTTCTGTATAAAACTAAACACATACTGTACTATCATGATAGATGTATTTTATAGAAATACTAGCTTTCCGCCCGCAGCTTCGCCCGCGTTAAGTTCGGTTATATCGCGTTTCCAAGAGAAACTTTCAAAAGTCTGGGATAAAAACTATCCTATGTTCTTTCTCAAGGTCAACTCTATCTCTGTACCAAATTTCATTAAAATCAGTTCAGTGGTTTAGGCGTGAAAGCGTAACAGACAGACAGAGTTACTTTCGCATTTATAATATTAGTAGGGATGTAGATTTTGAAGCTGTAGTTTTACTTAGGGAATATCTTAATTATCATTTTCTGTAAAAAAAGTAAACATAACATACTATCATCATAGACATATAATTTTATAGAAATACTTACATATAAAACACCCCGAAGCTGTTAACTTACTTTGGCGTTGCAAACTTTGATAATTGTGCAGCCATAAAGATGGACAAAAGTACGTGATAAATATTGTAAACACTCTAATATTTTTGTCATATATTTTAAGGTCGTGTTTCAATAACATTTTATTGGTATATGATGAGGTAGTACACTTACCTTAAATTTGTGAGCTCATTTGAATGGATAATTAATCCTTCATTTATTTGTTTAGAACCGACATTATTATATTTCTATTTTGCTTACTTTTTCTACATTATTTCGTTGGTATGTTTATATGGAGAAAATATTTTATCGAAATTTTGATTTTCCTCCATTATAAGCAAAAGTAACAACATTATAATTTAGCCATATTTTATTACTCTCAAAAAGAGCTGTTTTATAAGTTTGAAGTCAATGTCTTTGTCTTTTTGTGGCATCGTAGTTTACAAGGAGAACAATCGGCTACATTGTAGGTCCGTCTTCTTATCATGGCTGGTAATTATAGGCATTGTAATAGTATCATCTTTTTTCCAAAGTAATGTAATGAAGTTTTTTCCTATGATTATTGATCTGGTAATGAAATTTAATATTTTTTATATTATTTGCCACTAGGTTTCGGCTATGTTAACTTCAAATCTAAGGACGGCGTTGAACTGGCTCTGGCCTTGACTGAGGAGGATCTTACAATAAAAAATAGAATTCTAAGAGTGAAGCGATGCACTCAACTGACACACAAGAAACTTAACAAACAAGAAACAGGGAAGCAAGGTTATGTTGAGAAGCAAGGATACCAAGGAAGACAGGATAAGGCAACGTGGAATAAAGGGAATCAATTTAATAAAGGAAAATCAGGACAAGACAACACCGAGGGAGCTTACAGACGAATAAAAAGAAAGAATCAGGTATAAAAAAAAGTTGTATTCATTAAAGATATACATATTTACATTATTTAATATAAATTAATTTTACAAGTACACAGTAAACCCTCTCCGATTGTACATAAAATGTATATAACCTTTAATGTTCTGTAAAGATTGATATGTCCGTCTGTGTGTTACAGGATAACTCAGGAGTCAACAAAGACGGCACACACACCAAGAAGAATAGAAAGGAATTTGTTGGGATGACGGCAGAAAAGAAAAAGGTGAGGCCGCTTGACTATACATGATCAATATTTAACAATCAATATTAAATCTTACTATTTTATTTTCAGAAACAAAAGTTCAATAAGGGACAAAAAAAGAAAAAGGTTCTGAGCGAGATTCTGACAAAGAAATAATATGAAGTGCTCCCAGATTATGTTGGATGTAAATTTTAACAGTTTATTACAATAAATCGTTTAACTCTATATGTGTTTGTAAACAGACTACTTAGTTAATAATGTATAATTGTCATTACAATAAGTAGATATATAATCACAGTCCAATACAATGGAAATATTAATATTGAATCGGGAACCGCTACCCTTAAACCGAGTCTGCTTCTATATACTGATAGTTTGCAGTATATACAAACATGTGAATATTATTAATGGGGAACTATAAACTGTATTATCGTTCAGACTGGTCAAGGGTAACAATAAATAACCTCTAGTCACATGAATGCCATAGATGTTCTATGGCACTTTCTTAGTGTTTGGTAACTGTTTTCTACCTATACCTTCCTCGCTTTTCCCTACCCCTAGCTAATCTATAAATACTCTAATATGTACACGTCAACTAACATACGGTCGCTGTGTTCGGCCGGGCGGATGAGCTTACAACGAACGACGGACTCTGGAATTAATAGTAAACATTATATATAAGATAGTTGTGGAGAATATGCAGTTATTGAGGGTGGAATAGAATATAAACTAAAGATGAAATGGGATTCAAATAGAGAATTTTCATTGGGAAATTCAGACTCGTAAGATTCGAATCTGCAACTTGATATATAGAAATCCAGTTTCTTTAATAGACATAGTGACTGGTATTATAAGTCGTATGTGTACCCAATAGATGGCACCTTTATCCTGATGTAACGGTTATATATACAGATTAATAATTATTATTGTTATAAAATGATTAAGAAACGAAAAATCAACCATTATACTAATCAGTGATGTTTTCAAGAACTATATATCTGATTTAAAAGAAATTGTTAAAAAATAGATATAAATTTCCTTTCATTATTATAAGTTATCACCAGATAACGTCGTATTTCATACAAATATAATATAATAGTAATATAAACATACACCACGTCAGCACATCATCCTCTCTTGAACCTCAGTATAGTGAGTGTGAGCGCTAGGAACAGCGCGATCCATCCCAGCGTAGCCACGAAGCCCAGGTATACATCTGGCTCGGACAGCGGCCAGCCGCGGGTCAGAACTGCGCGCAAGGCAGACGTAGCCAGGGTCAGAGGCAGACATAGAGCCGCACCTCGCAACGCCCACGGCATACCCTCAATTGGCCAGATGACGCCGCTCAGCAGCAGCGTCGGGTAGAACGAGCCCAACGCCAGTTGAATCGCGTTCCGTTCTAATTCACAGGCCGCCGATATCACGAATCCGAAGCACATTCCGCATAACCCTTGCAATAACGTGAGCGCGATGACATATAACACGTTTCCATTGCACTCGACGCCGAAAACTAGTATCATGAAGACCAGAACAAGCGCCGTCTGTCCACACATCACCACGAACTGGGTGACCACGTGACTGAAGAGGATCTCTCCGGGAGACACGCCCGCCACCCACGAGCGGTCCAGCAGACCCTCCATGCGCTCCACGATCAGTGCGGACGAGGTCAACGCGACCGCCAGGAAGAACACGATGCTGGGGATATAGATTATACATACATATAGACATATATAGGAGCGTATAGAAGCCAACATAGTCTCTTCTCACATGGCGGAGTTTAGAGCATTAATCGGTACACTTGCTCAAGGCAGTTCCGCGAAACTTATCATTTATTTATAAGGACAACTTGCAAAACATGCACTATTTATAGGTTTTAAAATAAAGGTAATTACATTTTCAGTTAAGTGTTGTTTCAATTAAAAGTTATCGCGGCATGGAAAAGGACAGTATTTTCTATTAACCTAACACAACTTTTTTTTAGATAACAAAAATTTTATAGCCAACAAACAAACAATTATAATACAGAACGTAAACGAAACAATATAAAGATCGATGTTGAAGGACTAGAATGTGATCTTTATTTCATTATTTTCAACTTACAATTAATAATTTATACTGGGCGCGATTTAAAACTAGCTTAACTTTGCTTTTAAATTTTGGCAGACTGTCTGAAAAAATATCGATATCAATTTCTTGATTTTTTATAAGTAGGTTATACTGTCTAGGTAGCACACTCATGATAGCATTCTATCCTAAATTCGTTTTTGAGCGTGGAATCGAAAATGGAATGTATTTACTCGCACGGGGAAACCTTGACGGCGCATTAAAATTAATATTTTTTACGATATACTAAATTTCGTCTATGAATAAATGTAAATTTCTTCAGTTTAGGGTGTACTTAGAGCCGACTAACGTGTAAACCGACAATCAGCGCCATCTATCGCGTGTATCATATAACTCACGTGAGTATGACCCCGGGCGCCACGAAGTCGGTGAAGGAGGGGTTGTTGTCTCCGTAGATGGGGTCCTGGAAGTCGATGGGGATGTCGCCCACCTTGGGGTTGTAGTTACACGTCTGGAGCAGCTCCTTAAATATAAGTGAAGCTTGTGAAACTTGAGAAATATATTAGAAGTATTATAAATTGATTCTAAACTTTAGCTTATTCTCGTTATGTATACTGAATATTATAACTAAAAGATAAAAAAAGTTATTTCAACAGAATGGTTCAATACCTATATCAGTTGATGTACCAACAATTGTTTATGTACTTTACTAAATGTCTGTGTGTTTATTTAATTTATTAATTTATTTAGGCACACAAAGGTGGTGGCCTAGTGGTTAGAGGGCCCGCCTCTCGATGCCGAGGGCGCGGGTTCGATCCTGGCCCGGGCAAGTACCAATGTGATTTTACCGAGTCATATGTACTTTCTAAGAATATTTAGACATCTCTGATTAATGCATTCCCAAAAAAAGGGGTTGATGTTAGGCAGAGGCGGGCCGGTCGTAAAAAAACAATTAGCCAAAACTATTCACAATATGTTAAGGCAGACCCTGGCTATAGCCGGGAAATTGCCAGGTAGAAGAAGATTTAGGCACACAAACAGAATATAATCCGGATTACATATGAGTTACAGTATAAAAATATTTTTAGCTTGATTATATTCCTAAAAGCATGTGTACACGGCATAATCATTACAAAAACAATATTTTTGTCAGGTGCTACATTATTTAGGTACAATTTAAGACTAATGAATAAATAGGAACATATAAATTAAATTCTATTACCTAGTTATTGATACAAATAACATTAACGAAAGTTAGAAATTAATTTAAATTACATTCACTAAGATAACAATAATACAAATAGGAGCAAAAGATACATTAGATACATTCAATTAAAATTGTGTATCAAGTATAATTAAAAAATTAAATCATTGAGATATAATATGCCTTACCCTATTTTTAAGCCTTGTAAAATTGGGATCAAATATATCTAACATGTCACTGTGTTTTGAGAGTTAATTATTGTATGTACGGCAGAATCTAACAATTGGATTATAATATGATGTATTATTGATGTGACGAAGGTATTCAATTGTGGATGTTGAGATCTAAATTTGATGTTAAAATAAATGAGCGATAACAAGGCAGATGGGTCGATTCTAGAATGAATTCTTTTGTGCAGTGTATAAAGTTCATTACACGTACGTCTTTGTTTTAGTGTGAGCATATTAAAATAGCCAATTCTATCTTCGTAACAGTTTATCTTATTCTGCAATCCTAATTTGTGACACAAGAAGAAAATGAATGTTCTCACACATTACTGTTTTCCAAACGCAATCATTCTAACCCTAGGTAGTCTGGAAGCAATGGCTAATAAGCCATAAGGCCCCCTTTTGTTTCACTATTAGTTTTTAGTTTGTATTTTTTGTAATTGTTTGTTTTGTAATCATGGTGTACAAAAAAGAGTTACATAAATAATAAATTAATAAATACACGTACGTGTGTGTGTGAATGTGTTAGTTTGTGTGTGTGTGCTCCTCACCTTAGCGAAGTCCCTGTAACTGAACTGTATGTCCCTGTTGAGCATGAGTCCTATCTGTTGGTTGGACATGTCGAGCCACACCTGGATCTCCGAAGATATGATGGTGTCGTTGTCAGCCGTGTCGCCTGAACACACCGTTATATACTTTGTTATATATTACATAAGATACAAATTACATTACAATTGAATCATTAAAAGATACTATTAAAGGTATGAGGTTGCTAAACAGTATATTCAAACAGTAACGTCTATATAGATATGATGTTAAATTAGAGACGATTAGACGAAAACTTCTCATCATTCAATGTATTCACGGTGCGTGTGTCGGGTCCATCGTTGTAGTGAGAGGAGCTTCAACAGTGACTGTGACTTGTGACCCAGGTGTAGATTTAAGGGACCCTATCTAACGCGTTAAACGCTCACCTCCACTGTTCAAGCTCCATTCTCTACCTTTGAAAAGAACCTACTAGGACTGCCTTCGATGAACATTCCAAGAATTAACAGCAAACCTTTTCTTAGTGAGCTTGTAATACTTATTGACTTAGATGCATGGTTCTTATTATGTTGGTGTTCCTGTAATATTATAATACACACCCAAAGCCAGCCTCGCGACCAGTGAGTCGGTGTAATTCTCATTGAACAGCAGCACGCCCCACGCATGCCCCCTCTCCACGGCCCCGCGCGCGCTGTCCAGGTCGTCGTAGTAATCTTTAATGATGGACTGGTTCCGGAGGTGCGCGAGGTAGCGGCACGACAGGTTCTTCATGGAGCACGACGAGTTGAACGGACAGTAGCCGTCTAGCACGCGCACGTCGTCGTTCACCACCGCCTGGATCACACGCACACGTACATACAGACGTATTATTATAACGAGACTTAGAACACACACACACACACACACAGACAGATATAAAATAGAAACGAGACTTAGAACACGCACACATACATAGAGACGTACAATAAACACGAGCCATGGAACACATACACACGCATACAGTCATACGCACACACAGACATAAAAGACGAGCCATAGAACACACTTATACATTATGAGAGATAACTTAGTCTGAGTTAGGAAGCTTTTCATATATGATATACAAAGATCATTGTAGTTTTAAACATAATTGTATACTAGTTTCTGATCGCGACTTCATTCAACTAGTTTTCGGATATATAAATTTGAACCATATAACGCGTGATTAATATGTATTATTACAAATTGAAAGTTTACAGTTATGATAGATTTCATATAACAATGAACTGAATGGAAATTCGTGATAAATTATAATCTTATATATGATAATGATGAATGACATATATTTATATTAAGTCGCTTTAAGGTCGATTCAGTACTTTAAGAGTTTACGAGAAGTCTAACAAACATACACAACATATGTAGAAACGTTCGGATCATATTACTAATTATCATACAATTGTATGGAATGAGAAGAATAGAAAAGGTATATAAATCCTACTAATATTATAATTGCGAAAGTTAGTGAGTGTGTGTATGTTTGTTACTTCTTCACGCTCAAACGGCTGGACCGATTTTGATAAAATTTTGTATACAGGAAGCTGACGTATACGAATAACGCATAGGCTACTTTACATTCCGGAAATCGGAGGTAACACCGCGGGGCGCAGCTAGTATATATATATACTAGAAGTCCCGGCGAACTTCGTATCGCTCTATAATCAAGAAATATCTGTTACGTTTTTTTATTTATATTTTTAGAGTTTACCTATTTAAGAAATAAGTCTCCGTGTTTTGAAGTGCGACAGAATGATTGACATATTAATTAGTTGTCAAATCTAATGTAAAAAAAAAACTGTTTGTATCAACAACTACATACTAATAAATTAAAAATTAATTAAAAAAACCATTGTCCAGCGAACAAAATTGTGAATCTAAACCATTCCCAGATCCCCTTGAACACACACAAAAAATTTCATCATTATCGGTCCAGTCGTTTGAGAGATGTTCAGTGACATACACACTCACAGAAGAATTCTTATTATAGAAAGAAGAATTCTTATTAAAGAATATCTAATTGTGTATATGTTACTCACCAGTCTTAATCCCGTAGGATCTCTCCCTATAGCGAGACAGAACAGTATGACTTGCATGACTGGTAGTGCAAAGATGAACAGCATCACGCCGATGTTACGCCACATGCGGAGGAAGTTCTTCTGGATCAGGGCCTTGATCTTACCGCGAGAGGTTAACTGGAATATGAGACCTAACACTTTAGTATTCATCTTCTACCTGGCTAGTTGTTTTTACGACGTTGCCTGCCTGACATCAACCCTCTTTTGGGAATGCATTAATCAGTGATGTCTAAATACTCTTAGAAAGTACATATGACTCGGAAAAATCACATTGGTACTTGCCCGGATCGAACCTACGCCCTTGTGCATGAATGGCGGGCCTTTTAACCACTAGGCCACCACTGACTTTAGTATTCCTCTACATAATACCAATGTTCTCGGATTGGTAATATTTTTGTTATAATAACTAGATTGTTACGAAGTTTTGGTTATTTTGCAACTTTAATCAAGAAGATGAGATGATAATACGATAATTAATTAGCGTAATTTAATTGAATGAAGCAAGCGGAACAATATAATGCTGATTTAGGTCATTCATATGTACGATATAGTCGAAGATTTTTTTGATATCTAAGACTTTCATTAGTATTTATTTAAATGAAACTAATATTATTCGGATTATGTGTTCTTTTCTTGTCTTAATAATCACGGTTGCTGTATAGTAACCGAAACATTGGAAGTATGTAATTTAAAATAATAAAATACGAGCAGTAATCCTAATAATATTAATTTTATTTCAAGATTTTTTTGGTATAACCCAGTTATTAGTGGTGGGTTTTATACAAAAATATGATCGGTCCACCAATTTAAATTTTAAAGCTTGTAAAGGGAACCCATGTCTAAACAAAAAAACAAATCGGTATCGAAACGCTGAGGTCGTTTTACTTCGACTTGTATTGAGAAATGTTTCTACGAGAAAAGCAAGAAAAAAGGGAAATTTGTATCGAATAGTTTACATATTTGGGAGTACACATTTTAATATAAGTATGTATTACTAATGTCTAATGGTGATTTTTATCTGACTGATCTATTTATGAGAAATTTTAAAAAGGTTTGTGTAATCAACTACTATTAAATTTGCTATTTATTCAACGACTTTGTCTGTATTATTTTATAAAGCAACTTATAAATACTCATAGTACTTATAAAATTCTCATCTATTTTAATTCAAATAACTATATGAATTAACATATTTTCTTTGAATTCAAGCCATTAGGAAAACAAGAATCGTAAAACTATGCTGTAAGCAGTCCAATAGTTAAATGGAAAATATAAATATATATGGTATAAAGAAATTCTTTATAATTATATTAATGGAACCGGTGATGATTATGAGAAAACGTGATGATTAAGGTATTCCTTCATCATAATACTCACATTGAAACAGTTACCGCAGTCCTCACACTCTGACTTGACAACCTCCGTCACTTTACCCGGCAACTGGAATATATACAACATATATATTAATATAAATATATACACATAGCTTAGACTTAGATATAGTAAATATTATAAGGTTAGTTAAAAGAGGTAAATGTAATAATGGCAAATTATGGATAAGGAGCAAAAAAACTCGTAATATTGTATTAGGAATAGAGAGGGTAGAATAAGGAAATGTCAGGAAAAGGTGGGAATAAGGAAGGCCCAACCGTCTCTCTCACTCATCGGATTAAATGCAGCTATTCAAGACTATTTCACGCCGATCTTCTGTGAGAAGGTGATACTTCCACGGTCGAGCCAGCACATGTTCGAGCTGTAATAACTTAACAGCTAGGCTCTACTACAATCAGTTATAGGATCTTGGAGAATTCAGATCAGACAAGACAGGTGTTGTGAAGGTTTGGTAAGGCTCTTTATAAGATGATGGTGATTGTAGGATCCCTGGTCCTACATGTAAGTATAACTAGTCACTGGCTTTACTACCCCGCCTAGAGCGACGCACGTCCCCGTTCTGCTCCGCGCTACTCGTGACACTGCCGAGCGCATGCCGCATCTCCAGTGGGGTACGTAAGACAGTGTATTATATCTATTATATAGATACATACACTATAGTAATGATATATACTCACATCTCCGTTAGAGCCAGCAGCTTCTACTATGAGTACTTCCTTGCTCTGATGGAAGTTCAGACCCACTACTTGGCCGTCCTCAGCGGCGTACGGCGCCTCCTCTCGTTTGGACATCTTGTTAAGCCCTAGGGCTCCGCCAGAGATGTTCAACTCGGCCACTTGGTTCGCTTGACCTATATATATGATTATATTGTTATCATTATATATACTGAATGATTGGTATTTAATTTGTGTTATAATTATTAAGTTAAAATCATTGTATTTTAATTTGCAATCAGATCTTTCAGTATCTTTCTACGTGTTAAAAATCCTAACTTAACAGTAATTTAATGTTTTTGCCCGCGACTTCGTCTGCGTTAATTTCGTAATTAGTAATATATGTATAACTGACCAGGCGATCTCTATTCCGCTCTAGAGGCGGAAAATAAGCAGATATTGAAATTTATTAAGTTTTCTCTATTTCGATGGAACAGAATTAAACATCCTATGTCTATCGCCTTGTTCTAATCTATCTCTCCACCAATTGTCAACCATATCCGTACAGTCATTCTTGAGTTATAAATAGTGTATATAACACAACTTTCTTTTATACAGGGTGACTGGTGAATTACTATCAATGTTTAAGGAGAATACTATACTCGGTACATGATTCTCATTCGAATTGTGTAAAAAAAATAGGTACTTAATTTTTGACAAAATTTCCGTATAAATAAATAAAGTGTGGACCCGTTCCAAGTGTTCCAAGAGTGGACGCGCGCGCGTGTGTGTGTGTGTATAACTAATCTGTAGGGTGTTCACACGATGCGTAATTAATTACATAACTTTTGGTTAACTTTACTTAGAAGTTTATTAATATTTATGTTATATTAATTCTTATTTTGTCATATATGATCGTCAAATATCACGTCCTCAAGTATCGATAGTAATTCACCAGTCACCCTGTATATATAGCTAACTTATTCATTCCTATTAACAGCTAGTGTTTCAACAATTATAGGTTACAATGATGTTGAAATTTTCGTCATACAATATTTTATGATTCATTCATAATGAAAGGAAATGTTGTAACTTAAGACGAAACCTCTGTATGTCGCGGCCACGGCGAGACGAACTCAGCACTAAATTATACTATAGTACAGTCAAGCAGAAAACACTTTAATTTAATTTAATATTTTACATTTAAATCTTCAAAACATAAATGTATATCTTTTTCTTCTTCCTAGCAATTTTCCAGCCTTAGCCAGGGTCTGCCTTACATGTTTTAAATAGTTTTGGCTAATTGTTTTTACGACCGCCCGCCTGACTTCAACCCTCTTTGGGAATAAAAACATAAATGTATATATATTGCAAATATTTTTTCTAATAAGATTTATAGGAATCTGTTTACAATATATATGTATATAAGGTCACATATATAATAACATATAATTTAGATCGCCTTGAACTAAATATAATTTTAGCATATAAAATCAATTAAAATATACATATATACTTAATTATGTATATTAATAATCATTTATAAATCTGGTAGAATGCTTGAAAAATTTTACTAGGTTATATAAAAAGTACAATTCATAAAAGTCAGTGGTGGCCTATTTATTAAAAGGACCGCCTCTCATGCATGAGGGCGCGGGTTCGATCCTGGCAAGTACCAATGTGATTTTTCCGATTCATATGTATGTACTTTATAAGAGAATTTAGTAGCCAAGACTATTCACAAACATGTAAGGCAGACCCTGGCTGAAGCTGGGAAATTGCCAGGAAGAAGAAGATAAAAAGTACAATTCATTACGGAATGTATATTTTTGGTTGTTTATATTTAATTATAATGAGTGCGACTGTACGTGAAAATTTATTAGAGAACAAAGCAAGGTGATGAGAATCAATCCTTGTGATGCTTGATGGCTGATGGTTCACGACATTCCTATACACTGTTGACTTAAACACACTCACACGAATATTTATGTATTATTTAAATTACTATATATTAGAAGATATATAATGTATATCTATTCATATATTACTAGTAGCACTGTTAGTTATTTTCACACTATATATTTTAAGTTACTCTAGATTTTATACTCACTTGTACCTACTGTTAATTATTTATTATTGGAGTGTTGTCAAAACGAAACAAATACTGATAATTTTGATGTTAGCTTCAAATAAGTATGAATGTGTGTGTGAATGTGTCTATTTAAATAATATTGTAACCTGTAACGTCATATTTTACTAAGTAATTGCTATTAAAATAAAATATTGTATTCGTTCAGTTGTCTTTTAATGAGAAATTTCTTTTAGCAGTAATCAAAGAATGGTTTCATGGTGTGTGTAATCTCACAAATACATATATACTTCAAGTGGTGTGTGTATGTGTGTGTATGTGCGTGTATCTACTCACCCTGTCTCCGTGATAGTTTAAGGAAGACGTCTTCCAGAGAAACGCAGCTGTACATGTGGAGCAAGGCCTGGGGAGACTCCTCAGCCAGGAGACGACCGCTACGCATCAGACCGATCTGGAGATAACGTTGTATAGATATAGATATAGATATAGATATAGATATAGATATAGATATAGATATAGATATAGATATAGATATAGATATAGATATAGATATAGATATAGATATAGATATAGATATAGATATAGATATAGATATAGATATAGATATAGATATAGATATAGATATAGATATAGATATAGATATAGATATAGATATAGATATAGATATAGATATAGATATAGATATAGATAAACATACATATAGATATAGATAGAAGAACGAGAACACTAAGAAGAAAGCAGTAGAGATACAGTAGAAGTATTAGTTGATTGTAGTATATGTTAGTACTCAATATATAATATTACTTTTTCAATTATGTAGAAAGATGATTTAACTTTTATATTTAAATATTTTTATATCAATAAATATCTAATGCTTTTTCTTCTATTAATTAAACAACATATATATAGACTATAAATCCTTGGGCTAATACAAAAATAGAAGCTATCAAGAAAACGCCCATACATTTATGATTAATTCACAGAAATGCTACTAATTCTCGATTGACCTTAGTAAAAATAAAAGGAAGGTTTCTGTATCTTGTCATTGAGTATATAAAATCATTTAAGGAGAATTCTATCCTACAAATAGAGAACATTAAAATTGTCCAAATATTACAGAAATAAAGGCTAACCGGGTGAATGACCTTCATAAATAAATTCGATACTTATGGGCCTTAAACGAGTTAAAAGGATTTATATAACAAGAACAGATACTTATTATTCAAGTTAATAGATAGTTTTATAATAAATATTAAAACGATACTATTTATAGTATAATCAAATGTTTTCTAATCATATTCTAAACTGATATTAATCTATACTCATTCTTTATTTAACACTAGCTTTCCGCCTGCAGTTCGCCCGCGTGGAGTTCGGTTATATTGTGTTTCCAAGAGAACCTTTTAAAAGTCTATCCTATGTTCTTTCTCAAGGTCAACTCTATCTCTGTGCCAAATTTCATAAAAATCAGTTCAGTAGTTTAGGCGTGAAAGCGTAACAGACAGACAGAGTTACTTTTGCATTTATAATATTAGTAGAGATAAGTGTAGTATTAAATTATCGATATTATATTTAACATAAGGATCATTCAATTAAATATTCGGTCTATATGAATGAACCTGATTCTGTATTAAAATTTCAATATTAGGTATATTTAACATCAGGGTCATTTAATTCAAAGATATCCGATTTATATGAAAAAACTTCATCCGTATAATATATTTCATTTACCTAAGGGTCACTCAATTCAATATCCCGTCTTTATAAATGAACCCGATTCTGTATAAAGATCATTCAATTCATAAATCCGATTTATATGAAAGGACTTTTTTTTTTTTTTTTTTTTTTTTTTTTTTTTTTTTTTTTTTTTTATCGTGGGGAAATGCATATGAAAGGACCCTATTCGTATAATATGTACGTATGTGTGTGCATATGTGTGCGTGTGTGTGTGTGTACTGACACAATGCGCCTGTGTCACCTCCTCGATTTATATGAAACTACCCTATTAGTATTCTATGTACGTATGTGTGTGTATGCGTGTGTGTGTGTGTGTATACTCACACAGTGCGCCTGCCTCGCCTCCTCTATATAATGAGTGGTGATGATGACCGTCTTATCCCCGGAGCTTGTGATGCGGACCAAGTGCGTCCAGATAGATTGTCGGAGCAGAGGGTCCACACCCACTGTAGGCTCATCCAGGATCAAGAGCTCAGGGTCATGCATGAGCGCCACGGCGAATGACACACGACGTTGCTGACCACCACTGAAAGATAAATCATCATCATCAGCCTATCAGAGCCCACTGCTGAGCTGCCTCTCACATGGAGAAGGTTTAATGATGAGCATTAATCACTCGCTTAAGACGGTTTGGCGATTTCAAACTTATAATTTGATAAGTCCATGTTTCCTCACAATGTTTTCCTTCATTAATCAGTGGTGTCTAAATACTCTTATAAGTACATATGACTCGGAATAATCACATTGGCACTAGCCAGGATCGAACCCGCGCCCTCATGTATGAGAGGCGGGTTTTTAACCACTAAGCCATTCACCACTACCAAATATGTACAATTAATATAGTAATAAATAAAATTACATATATGTCTTATAAATATAACAGTAATTTAGACATACAAAGTTTGATGATATTTTGTGTTTAATCATCTTTAATTCTATAATATAAAAAAAAACTTAAAAATGAATAACTAAGCTCTTTATTTGAGTATATGAAAACCTGTGATAAGTATACAAATGTATTTAAAGATATTTCTATGAGAAGATATTACATGTATTATGTACTCAACTAGTAATATTGTATATATATATAAGAGATTTAACCAGTGTCTGAAGTGATTAAAAATATATGAAATCAGTGTTAAGTCATTAAACAGGTTATAATATTTAAGAGGTGTTTTAATATTATTTATTTAGTGTAGACGGAGGACCGGTTACTACAACAGAATAAGATATTTAACAGAGTATTGAGGATACAAAAAACATTCATTAAATATGATGACTGAGAATTTTAGTACATAGATTATGAATTATTATTAATACCTAGATTTTGCCTGTGACTTCTTCCGCTTTAAATTAGGAGTTAGTTATATGTATATGTATAGCTGACCGCGCGAACTCTATTCCGCCATTAAGGCAGTAAATAACCAGATATTGGAGTTTAATAAGATTTATTTCCTGTTTCGATCGAACAGAATTAAATATCCAATGTCCGTCTTCTTGTTCTAATCTATCTCTCCACCAATTTTCAACCATATCTCTACAGCAGTTCTTGAGTTATAAATAGTGTAACTAACACGAATTTCTTGATATATTGACTCGTGGACATATTCTAGGTATATATAGTATTAAATATTTAAATTTTAATGTCACTCATAAATAAATTTTATGCTTGTTTTATATGAACTGTTACAAATATAACAGTAAAAAATGCGTTTTTTTTAAATATTTGAGACGTCAATTATATTTACAGAAATTATTTAATTTCACAGTAGGTATATATAAATAAATTCATCAAATATTCAGTTGAGATAAAACATGTGTCTATGTATTTAAATTCAAAACATAACTCGCCTTTGTATTTACCGATTTCGAAAGGTTTTCTTATTAAATAAAGGATATGTTTAGACATTGCAACTATAAGAAAAATTAAATTGCAACTATTAAACAATCATAAATATTGTATTTAAATCTTTATTAATATCCAAACCTAATTTGTTCGTCAATTATCATTTAAAATATCTAAAAATATGTTTTAGCTACGATATCCATTAACTTCCAATATATAATTTATAAATTTTAAAACTGGTATATATAGACCAGTTTCTGGGTTCAAATACCTCGGTTTGGTTTTATGATAAGTAAAAGGAATCATCTAGAAACATATTAAACTATTTAAATATTTAAACTTTAAAGCGGATTTCCTTCAAAGTATTTAAACGACAAGATAAGTAAAAATATTTTTGACTATGACAAACTCTGAATGTATGAATATGTCTTCTTTATTATATAATAAGATCTAAGATTTTCGCGAGTATTCATTTAAATGAAACTAATATTTTCGGATTTACTACGTGATTTTTATTTTTGACTATAAACTTCATACTCCCGACGTTTCGGTTACTTTACAGCAACCGTGATCACGGGCAGACGAGATGTCAAAAATAAAAAATCGCGTAGTAAATTCGAAAATATTAGTTTCACTTCGTTATTATATTTTAATGTAGCTATTGTTATTTAGAAAGTCAATGAAATTTTTTGGTGACTCTCAATTCTTAAGACAAAATTAATCTCTTTTCACACGACGCGGACGGTTCTTTCAACTTTCCATGACTAACCACTAAATACATGACGATTGAGTTTCAGATACTTTTAAGATTATAAAGAATAATAATAATCTATTACTGTACTATATACTACGTCTGTATTGTATGAAATGTAAAGTTTAAATTTAAGTTTTAACAGTGAGGTAAGGAGACGAATTAAATGTAGTACAGTCTAGTCAATAAGTATCCAAAGTGGATTGATTGAAAATATCAAATAACATATATTGATAAATTATATTTTATCTACTAAAAGTCTTGAGCACGTCCAGAACTAACATTAATTCTTGGAACGTACTTCGAAGACAGCTCTTATACGTATTTTCAAATTTGGTAGAGAGAGGAGCTTGGACAGTGGAGGTGAGCGTTTAACAAGTTAGAAGTTAGGGCCCCTTAAACCTACACCTGGGTCGCAAGTCCCAGTCACTGTTGAAGCTCCTCTCACTACAACGATGGACCCGACACACGCACCGTGAATACATGGAATGATGAGAGGTTAAGTCTCATCTTTAACACAATTTATATGTTCATGTAGACTTTAATCGTACATATAAGAAGTCGAACCCGCGATCCCTATCACACGCTTTCAGTAACTTTTCTATCTAAACCACCGCGTCACTGCCGCTGTTCTCAATCAAATCTTTTCCGATCATCAATCATACTTCCTGAGAGCTCTGTTCCAAGTGAAAGGCGTGACGTCACACCTTAATTATATTATCTAACAAGATCTTCACATACTAATACATTAACATAGCTTGTGTAACATATAATGAGCTCTTATTATAATGGTCATCTACCCTCTCTTTCATTATATGTTCTATCTCTTTTCAGAATCGCTAAAACAATGTACACTTCAAAGTAAGTGTTTTTTTGGTTGATTAAATATATACGACAATGAAAGAAGATTAATCAGAATGTAATAGGAACGAAAATTGAAATAATTCATACATTTTAAGCATATAGTAAAAAGAAGGAATGAAAAGAAATATATAACTTGTATATGGTTTTCCTTAATATTTTTTCTTATAGATAAATTCATTCATTATTCATTCATTCATTCATTGAGATCTTCCAAACAAACTGACTAACCACAATGAGCGTAACTAACTTAATGTTCTGCTTTAACAAGTACGAGTTAAAATAATGAATGAACTAACAAACATTAGCTACTGTGATTACACGGACTAAACAACAATTGATGGAACAAAGACCTACTGAAGAAAGAATAGCCGTTCAGCGTGAGAACTGACTCGCAGGCATGGGAATAGAGTGATGTAGAGGGTGTTCACAATATGAATTACTAATCATTTTCATTATTAAAGGAAAAATCTTTAAGTTATAAACAAATTTTGCATGTAGTTTATGCTGATTATATAGGGTGAGCATTTTAATTTGTGAATTAAGTAAGGAAAATTTGAATTAAAAATTATTATATAGTCATTAAAAATCCTAACACTCTGTATATACTTACATAACACTAACTACTTTACTTCCAATATAAGTTATATAAGTTTTCATACAAAAATTTTATATTATTAAATGATTTGTAAATTAAAAGATATTTGACAAACATGTTATTCCGATAAGTTCTTATAACGACAAGATAAATTTATTATATAGATAAATATTACATTATAAAAACAATTTAAATTAAATGACCGTAATAGCTTTATAACTGTTATTTGATATAAATATATTTTTCGTCATTTATCATTGATTTTCATCTCTGATGGGAGTGGAAATATAAATAGAACTAAATATTATATATATGTATATACTAGCTGACCCGTCAAACATTGTTTTTCTATATAAAAAATACGGGTTAGGGTAAACATTTTGAGCTATATGTATGTATTTTAATGCTACATTATAAAAAAATAAAAACAAAAAAATTCTTCACAAAAAAAATTAAGGGTGAACAACCCTTATGACTTAGGGGTATGAAATATAGATGTTGGCCGATTCTCAAACCTACTCAATATGCTCACAAAATTTCATCAAAATCGGTCACCCGTTTCGAAGGAGTTCTCTGTCTAACACCGCGACATGAGAATTTTATATATATGATATTTCGCATTAAACGATATATTATTGATTAATAATATTGATGTATAAACAAGTCGTGTTATGAACAAGTCTTCATAATATTTTTTATCACACATTAATCAACAATCGAGTTTTTTGTTAAGACAGTAATTATGTTGTTTACATGTGTCTCACTGTCGGAGGCTGGGATGTGTGTTCTAAACACAATACGATCAAACAGTTATAATATACATATATAATGTAGATTTAATATATGAAATTATTTATTAATATGGTAATTATATCAAAATAGCACTTGTGGTGACCTCTATGTAAGAAATGTTTGAACACTTTAAATTTTAAAATAAAACTATCCTTTCGTTTCATTCTTGTTTCGTCAGGAAACACGTTATTTTATTTTAGTAAATATTATTCTAAACTAACTTTATATTGTTTCTTATAAAATACTATACATAGACATCATATTATATACACGTTTTAATATTATATATAGTGGCTAAACAATAAAATAAAACCTGGAAGAGTATTAAGAACAACCCTGAAAATTAAAAGCCTTCTACAATCAGCTTGGAAATTTCTATGTATTATGTCTTAAGAACTAAAATATATAAATAGCTGTTATTTTTAATATAATAATCATATTATTATGAGACAAAGACAAAACGAAACCTCTCATCATTCAATATATTCAAGGTGCGTGTGTCGGGTCCATCGTTGTAGTGAGAGGAGCTTCAACAGTGACTGGGACTTGTGACCCAGGTGTAGGTTTAAGGGGCCCCTATATAACGTTAAACACTCACCTACACCGTCCAAGCTCCTCTCTCTACCAAATTTGAAAAGAACCTACTAGGGCTGCCTCTGAAGTACGTTTCAATAATGAACTGATGTTATTTCTGGACAGGCCCAACTCTTTTAGAAGGTTGTATAAACATTTAGCTGTTATACCTCTCCTCTTCAATACCCGAGTATATATTTAAGACCTATCAAAGTATAAGACTAGTTTCCTCACCTCAAATTCTTCACCATCCTATTCTCGCTGGGCAGATCGAGGAAGTCCAATAGAAATCGGAGTCGATCCACAATTTCTTTGGTCTCCATGCCGAAGATCCACCCGAAGTACATCATCGTCTCCTTAATAGTAAACTCACCATACAGAGCTATCTCTTGAGGCATGTAGCCAACACGTTTACCAGGCACACCAGACCCTGAGGAATTTGGTTTATGGAGTATTCAACGAAATATGATATACGATACAATACACCCAGTTTTCGGCAACAGTGACTTAGCTTTGTTTTATATTTGGGACCTGCGATGCGACCTAAGATATATGTATAAGCTGTATATTATATGTCTTTATATATTAATTGTATATAAAAAATATTTAAATCACATTATAACTAGCGCTATCTATGTATAAGTTGTATATATTATGATATATCCCTTTTTATAAAGTCAGGCTTTTGTCTGCTATTGGAACTCAAATTTTTAGTTTTATTTTGACGATATATGATAAAGTATTCTTTATATAAGGAAAATGTATTATTGAACATGTCATGTATGTTTAAATTATTTATTTTTTGTACATTGTTATAAATAAATATAAATAGTTTTCTATGTGTGTGTGTGTGTGTGTGTGTTCACACGAGGACATATGTACATAATACACAAAGACCTTGAATAACTGACAGAACAAATGATCTTTTACTAAAGAATAATTCCTGAACACAAGATTTGATAGAGATTTATTCAAAACAAAACAACAAGGCATTATTTAAAATTCATAAATTAAAAACCAAATGCCTCATTATGTTCGGCCTTCGTTTGTTCGTTAAGATAATCGGATTAAAAAAACTCAATATTAATGTTAAATAATGAATAACAATATGTTCTTATTGTAAGCTTACCTTTGGTTCCCGGTTTTCCTCCCAGGACCCAGATTTCTCCACGATTTAATTTTCTTCTTCCAACGATACATGAAAGTAGAGTTGTTTTACCACAACCAGACGCTCCCAGGAGACCGTATCTATAAACAAACAACATAAGAATTAATATATATATATAAGAACAAATATATATATTTATATATATATATATAAGAACAAATAGTCTAGACTGAATATAATGTGAAGGAAAAAGTATAAAGACCAAATCTAAACCCTAATTAATAGATTACAATGGTTTAAATAAAAGGATATTTTTATATAACCATAAAACAGACAAAGCCTGTAGTAAAAGCTAGTTGTGTCGTAACAATATTGTTTAATGAATAATTCAACAACGTAAGAAAGGCCACAAGTTCAAATCCTAAGTCTTTTCCATGCAAATTATTATATGATCTTTGTTACCTTCTTATATTAAAAATAAACTGTTTGAATTCATGATAATAGGTTTTACCTATGAATTAATATTTTCAGCAAAATATTATTTATTCTACAACTATACTAGATATTCAACATACTACAAGAAAAGAGTAGGCTGGGTGGTCTCTCCATTGTTTCTTTATATTATATCGTCATCAGCCTATCAGAGCCCACTGCTGAGCCTCTTCTCACATGGAGAAGGTTTGAGCATTAATCACCACGCTTGCTCAAGACGGGTTGGTGATTTCAAACTTATAATTGTGAAACTATAAGTCCAGGTTTCCTCACGATGTTTTCCTTCACCGTATGTCAGTGGTGTCTAAATAATCTCAGAAAGTACATATGACTCCGAAAAATCACATTGGTACTTGCCAGGTTTGAACCCGCGCCCTCGGCAACGAGGCCACTAGGCCACCACGGACTGACTTATATTATATGTATATCTAAATATAAACATGTAATAATTTTAATATCTTTATACTGAATATTTTATTCGCCCAATATTTTTGTATATTTATTGCATGTCGCTAAAGCCGGCCGCGGCGTGGGGTTGAAATACTAAGGCTTTGTCATATTTAATATATAATAAATATGTTACGAATATTTGAAATTCAAATGTATATATCTTAATCTTATAATGATAATAAATCCTATTTGATATATCAAGGATACTACTGAATTTTCAGTTGTATCGTTTTACAAAATCACAAAACATTCCTTTTGCATTCGCAATATTGGAAAATACTTATGATTTAGCTTAGAAACTCAGAAAGAACCAAGTACTTAAATAGTAGGTATAAGTGAAGGTAATTTAAAATATACATTGAATAATAAAAACAATTACCTTACTATGTATTTTAATAACTAGCCAATTATAGAATGTGTTACAAAATAACTTTATGTCGGAACTGCTTAGTTAAACAAACATCATAACTTGTATTGAATGACAGTGAAATAATACTTATCTAAAGTAAATTTAATTAGGAGAAAAAAAAATACTATTTAAGATATTTATTCTTGTTATCTTTTCTTCTTCTTTATTAGAAGAAGAGATAAAAAGATTTTTCATAGTTTTTTACAAATTAAAGCAATCTTAGTATATATTAAAAATAATAGTTTCATTTATATATCTGTAAGATTTTTGTATTATATGTACTCTAATAAGAAGCTACATTAAAAGTTTCTATCAAATATAAAAGAATAAAAAATACTTTATAAACACAAAACCCAAGTCTCCGTTAATAACTATTACAAGGCAGGACGCGATACAGGAAAATTACTTAGAAATTACACCGAGGTCGCTCTTAGTCCGTCAGGTAGTGTAATATTTTAATCGATTCCTATTTCGATGTAAAATCGTTTTTTTTATATGAAAGGTGGCAAAGGAACAGACGGTCTACTTGGTGGGTAGTAGACACCCTCACCTATGGACATCCGCAACATTTTTGTTGTAGATGCGTTGCTAACCTTGGTTTTTTTAGGAATAAGAAGGGATGGGAATAAAGGAAATGACAGGAAAAGGAGGGAATAAGAAAAGGACAACCATCTCTCTCACTCATCGGACGAAACGCAGCCATTAAAGACTACTTCACGCCGATCTTCTATGAGAGGGTGGTACTTCCTAAGCCAGCACATGTTCGAGATATAATAACTTATCAGCTATGCTCTACCTATATATATTATCTTTATATATATAAAAATTCTTCCATACGTTAACAATAATTAGGTACACGTGATATAAAGGTTTCGAAACTCGAGCTAGTTCTGCAACAGACAAACAGACCGTTACGATCGAATTACGTGTACACAATTCATATGTTTTAACGAGCTAATATTTCTTAATTGTTTCTATATTTGTTATAGTTATATACACAAACCGATATATATGTATATATAATGTTTAATTCGCTAATGGAATAATTTATATCTCATTAACTAATAATGATTTAAATTGGTATAAAAATTCGCATGTAGTTTTAATTTTTTCTCATTCCGTCTTAAAAGCCGTATATAAAATTAAGTTTTTCTTATTTTATCCTGTAAGCAACATAACTGCTCTTTAAAAACTATCAGTTTCATAGTTTTTGCGTAATATACTTACAAACAAGCAATATTTTAACATTTTCCATTCTATATAAATTATCCAAATACTATATTTTACCATATATATTAGTTTAAATAATATATATTGAACTTCGTATATACATTCCGATATCATTCGAGAGTCGACCCAGATCGTTTTAGTAATTAAATAATTAAATCGTTAAAATATCATAAGTCAACGTGAAACACGTAAAGACGGACGGATAAATTGACTGAACACAAATATATATATAAAGATTTAACCAGTGTTTGAAGTGATTAAGAATATATGAAATCAGTGTTAAGTCATTAAAAGGCTTTAATAGAGATTATATGTATAGAGAGAAAATAAGAAAAAACAATAACAAAATCATCTTAAAATTTTTATGCATTTTATAATATTAAAACAAATATGTATATACATATATATTTATAGCAGCCAAAGCCGATTTTAATAACCGTTTTAAATTGATAGTATGGAATATAATTTTTTATATGGACATTAGAAAACTTTGTATAAGTAACCTTGGGTATTGTTAAAATTTATTATATCCGATATTACATACATGTATAAGAACGGATTTCTAACAAATAATTCCCAAAAAGATGCAAGGATCGTCGTGTTTTTAGACTGGAAGTGCTGCTAAATATTACTTATATAATATACTAGTTTTAGTCCGCGACTTCGACCGCGTTAATTTCGGAATTACTAATATATGTATAGCTGATCGAGCGAATTCTATTTCGCTCTAGAGGCCGTAAATAACCAGATATTGGAGTTTATTAAATTTTTTCCCACTCCCGGTTCTAAGCTATTTCTCCACCAATTTTCAACCATATATCTACAGTCGTTCTTGAGTTATAAATAGTGTAACTAATCTAACATTCTTTTATATATAATTTTAATAAATAAAGAATATAGTTATTTTATTTATAGCCAGTAATTATCACATTTATATGTAAATTACAACACAAAAGACATTTCAATCACAATATGGACATAAATTTATAAGTGACTAGAAGACCTGGCGAACTTCGTATCGCCCTATAATCAAGAAATATCTATTACGTTTTTTTATTTATATTTTTGGAGTTTACCTGTAAGCCATATCTCCGTGTTTTGGAGTGCGACAGAATGATTGACATATTAGTTAGTTGTCAAATCTAATGTAAAAAAAACGTTTGTATGGGAAATAGAAAAGTGCGGTTTTTATGGTTTTCCCAGTAATGAATTAATTTTTTTCAGCTTTTATACTTTCCCTGAACCTCCACGAACATTTAAAGACTAAGATAAGATAAATCCGTTCAGCTGTTCTCGAGTTTTAGCGAGACTAAGGAACAGCAATCCATTTTTATATACAGGGTGACTGGTGAATTACTATCGATATTTAAGGAGCATACTTGGTACATGATTCTCATTCGAATTATGTAAAAAAAATAGGTACTTAATTTTTGACCAAATTTCCGTATAAATAAATAAAGTGTGGAGACGTTCCAAGTGTCCCAAGTGTGGACGCGTGCGGCGGCGTGCTGATACAACACCACGCCGCCGCCGCGTCTGTGTGAGTGTGTGTGTATACCTAATCTATAGGTGTTCACACGATGCGTAATTAATTACATAACTTTTGGTTAACTTTACTCAGAAGTTTATTAATATTTATGTTATATTAATTTTTATTTTGTCATATATGATCGTCAAATATCACGTCCTCAAATATCGATAGTAATTCACCAGTCACCCTGTATATAGAAGATCAGAACCGCGGACAATAGTATAGTCAGTTTTAATAGTTGTAGCTTGTAACAAAGACAATGTTCAATGAGACTTGAGTTGCGTCAATGCCTTTCGTCAAAGGTTCATGGGGTTACAACTCACAATGGGTTGTTAAGCATTGCTGACGACTCGACGTGATGCCAACACTGCCTTATAAGCAATGCTTACTTTGCCTTACTGACTAACTTCCTTTGTCACTTACACTTAAATAAATATGTATGTTTTCTTTCCTTTAATATTGAAGGATTTCTTGGTTTTGTATAAAACATTTGAATGAGATCTAATTCGCGAGTATTCATTTAAATGAAACTAATATTTTTCGATTACTACTGTATTTTAATATTGTAAAAAATACACACTCCCGACATTCACATCTCGTCTTAATGATCACGGTTGCTGAAAAGTAACCGAAACGTCGGGAGTATGTAGTATTTAAATAATAAAATACGCGTAGTATAATCCGTAAAATAGTCGTTTTATTTAAATATTTATTCTTTCCTATAAATATTGAGTGATTTTTAGTTTTTAATAAAAAACAATGATAGTAAAAACTTTAAAATTTATATTATGTATTGTTGATTATGATTTAAACTAACATCTAGGAAGTGTTTTATGATTTATGTCTATATAAACATCGAATATATTAAATATAATATTTTGTATATACATTTTATTATTAATTTTAGTTCAAGTGACAGAATGTCAGATGTTGAAACATTGTGCAACTAACGAGCTGTGTTAGCTTGTTTTAAAATTATATTTCTCAGTTCAAAGTATAAATTAATATTTATATTTTCATTTTCAATAAACACTTAGCAAGTTTTTTGTTTACTTTCATGTATTTGAAATATTATTAGAAATACGTAATTTGATAATTTCATATCATAAAATAAGGTACTTTTTCCTAAATTATTGAAAAGTATGTGAGTATGTAGTATGTGAGTATGTAGTATGTGGCAACTTTGCCAGCAATACTTAGTATAATTATACAAATATTTTTAAGTTATACAAAGCCTAGGACACCTCATTCATGTGATCTAGGTTTTATTTCCTCTCTTGTGTCACTGTCTTAAATCGTTTAAAGATTCTTCTATCTTACTTTCAATACTTCTAAATTCTATTCTAGTTAAAATTCTATTATTTATATAAAAATATTAATTTCACTGTCAAAAGTACTATAAAAGCTATACATGAATATTATCTATGTGTGTATAAAAGCATGATTTATATAATTAAAATGGATCCAACGAAACAACATAAATATTGTAAACAATCATTTCATTAAGTTTGTTGACATAATTTATCTTGTTTCGCTGGCGTGATAATATACTCACATGGTCCCCTTAGCGACGGACATATTAAGGTTCTCTAGGACGTGATTCGGTCGTTTGTTAGAACCGTAGTGTTTGTACGCGTGCCTCACACACACTGCCTGCTGCCTTTTTTGCCACATCTGAAGCAAAATATGATTATTAGTATAATATTTGACAAGAAATTAACATTAACTCGACTAATATCTCTATTCTTGTTTATTGTTTAGTAGAAGTGTGTTAAAATTGTCTTAAAGATCGACTTGAATAAGCTTGTACAATAATAATAATAATTAATAATTAAATAAGTTACAAAATAAACGTAGGTAGTCCCATAATGAATTAGCCGAAATGAAACGAAACCAATATTATTTTTCAATATAATCACCATGAACACTAACATACTTCTGACATCTGTGAATCAACATCTCTAAACCCTTATAAAATCGCAATTTTTATTCTTAAAATTACGAAGACGGCTGCCAAAAAATTTTCATCGCTTGAAAATTGTCTTCCTCTTAATCCCTCTTTGTATTTGGAAATAACTAATAGTCGGTCAGGGCCATGCCTGAACTGTAATGTGGATGTTCCACTTCTGTGAAGCAAGATTGATGAAATGCATCCTACGAAACATCAGTGGTTTGAACAGACTCTTTGTCATGGAGTAACATGACACCTTTCTACAGTTAGTCTCTTCGTTTTTCCTTTATCTTATCTCGGAAATTATATATTAAAGACGCATATCAATCGCCGTTCAGGAATGTATTACTTTAAAATCCACCATCAAAATGCTTTGAAATTCCCAAAAGACTATGCACATCAGTTGTTTTTCGATCGTTGCACCTTAGCCTTTCTAGGGGGATTTTCCTCTGTATAAGGCCATTTCATTGAGTCACGCTTACTTTGTGAATCATAACACAACGCTAAAGTATCATCACTAGTCATTTATGACCCGGTCGATCACAGTCTTGGAATTTTTGCCACAAAAACTCCGAAGCGCAGGGCACTTTATAAAATTATATACTCCGCTATATAAAGTTTCAGTTTTATTTTCTTCATGTGAAGATGTTCGTTGATTGTAGGATGAATGGTACTTTAAAGAAGTCTTAGCCTTGCTGCAATTTCTGTAATCTTCAAACAGCAGGCACATAGAACCACCTCTTTGATATGAACAATCATTTCGAAAGTGAGTTCTTCGGTTCTTCCACAGGTACATCAATGTGGCTAAAATCTTCGACAGTTTCTCTCAAGAGGCAAAAATCTTTCATCATATTTTTCACTGTGCTATCTGGAGTGTGCTATCTGTGCAGACTCCAATTGATACGCATCCAATTTGGGCAGCAGATATACCTTCTTTAAACAGAAACTATGACATTTCGATACTCAGTTTTTACATTTTGAAAAAGTACGGGACTCTCGTTAAATTTGTCGTCAAGTTTCTGCTAAACTAAGGCTAAGTATTTCATGTCAATGCGTGTTTCTCATATCAACACGATATACAAAACCATACGTAGCAACATGTACGTAGAACTATATTAGGTCAGTACATTATAGGACCCACTATTAAATAAAAGTTTAAAATGCTTTTAAAAACCGTAAGAATATTTATAGAATATACGAGAAAGTAACTCGAGAGTCGATTAAGTTGTAATAAAACATTAAATGTGATAAAATTGAGCAATATTATGAGTTATTATATGTATTTTACTTATAATAAATATTATACTGGTTCCGTGGTTTTACTTGTGAAAGGCATATTAAGATTATGAGATACTTCATACTACTGTGAGATTAAAAATATATCATTAGTTTGGTTCGTTAAAGTCTGTATTTCTTCTAAAAAAAACTACTATAACACGCCTACCACCAGTTAGCATTCAAATCAAATACGATCGAACTGTCCGTATTGATGTTTTTCATTAATAAATGTTTCCATTATAACATATATATTGACTAACTAGAAGTCTGTGTTCAGTTCATGACACGTACAAAGAAGAAGATGGGAAAGTTCGCAATGTTGGAATGAAAATAGGAAGGGGTAGAAATTGATTGTTTAGTATTTTTTAAAAGAAACTTTATTGCCATTACTTATAAGTCACAATTGATTGCCCGCATGTGTTAGAGCATCATGCATTTCGTCTTGCTCGGTCTCTTTTTATTGACCCCCCCCCCCCCCGAGTGTTGAACGTCTAACGCAACCCTATTGGCAGTTGCATAAGAGGTTTCACTTAAAAAAATATAGTTAAAGGTAATATATCCCATCTTTCGTCACTTTTTTTAACCAATGGCGATAACATAGAGACGTCAGACGTCGATATCAGTGTGTGTATGTATGTGGCGTCATGGCTCTCAAACAGATCAACCGATATCTATGCGGTTATTGTCATTCAAAGAAAGATTCCTTGCAGTGAACTTTAACTAAATTTGTTTCATATTGAACTAGCAGTGCAACAGTATCATATATTTTACTTAATATATATATATATATATATATATATATATATATATATATATATATATATATATATATATATATATATATATATATATATATATATATATATATATATATATATATTTTATAATACGCATGCTATATTAAGCGCCTCATCCGCGCTAGTAAAGTCGTTAGACGACAATTTTAAGTTATTTACAAAACGATTCACAAGACATTCAACCTTGAATAGAATTGTCAAATATTTCGCAAGTCGAAGTCCAAAAAGAGTTGTCAATATAAATATACACGCACCGGGTCCCAGTTAGCGCGACGATGATAAAAAATCTATTTGACAAGTGTGTAAGTCGTTAAACCGGTATTAAAAACCATTGATTATTATAAAGATCAGGAATGTACTGATTGATATATAAATGGGATATATATTTAATAAATATCAACAGACCGTTTTTGAAGTGAAACTTCTAATGCAACGTTTAACAAGGTTGCGTTAAACTTTCAACGCTCGTTGAGGGAGAATAGAACGAAACGGCGCGAGAGTAAGGGTTTGTCAATTGTGAGTTATAAGCAATGTTTATAAAGTTTATCTTAAATAAATATGGGTTTACTAAAAATAGATTTCTACCTATATAGTATATTCATTTCAACACTACGAAGTTTAATTTCTTCTTCACTATTTTTCATACTATTCTTATTATAAATGCGACTGTATCAGAATGTATGAATATCTGTGAGTATTTAACACAAAAACTACATCGATTTTGATGAAACTTAACAATAATGTACCTCAGACACATTTATGAACACATATAATTTGTATTTTGTATAAAACACGTCACTATATCTCTGTCTTTTAATACACTATGTATTTTTCTCTCCACACGGACGGAATCGCGGCCAGACATTAGTGTTATAGTAGATTGTTGACACATAAGGAAGTATAGTTTACATTTAATATAACTAGTTCGACCTTATCATGTTTTTCCTCAATTTTCCTGAGGAAAATGAGAGCGTTGTAGACGGTTCATGAATAAACATGATAAACATGACAATTATAATCATTATTATGATATATATATATGTATGCATGTGTGTGTGTGTGTGTGTGTGTGTTTGTAATTAAAAATAAATTTAAACTATATAAATATATTCATTAATAAATATTATATTTTTACATCCGTGTTTCTGTTAATTCATATTTTAACATATAATTCATATTTATTTATTAAAAATACTTTTAAATGTTTTTTCATTTAAGAAATTAAATGAATCTATATTTATATGACAGTTTTTGTATGTTGACCTTAGTCCAAGTTAGCTTACGTAATAAATACTGACAATTTCATGTAAAAATATTAATTTATCAATGAGAAACTGGAAAACGGTAAGTATACAGTTTAACGCGACAAACTAATAGTAAGTATTCTATAAAAAATTTCGTCACCACTAACAATAACATTAATTGTTTATTGTGTAAGGCTTATTCACACAGGCGTGAATATATGTCGTTAGTGTGTCGTGTGCCTTAATGTAATACATGAACGTGTACTCACAGTATTGTTCTGTTTCTCCGGAACTGAGAACTGTATCTGGCTCATCTTTGAATCCTTCTCATCGCTCACTGGCGACGAAGGCGAGGTCTCCCTGTAAATAAAATAATCATATTATTAATCATCATCAGCCTATCAGAGCCCACTGCTGAGCTGCCTCTCACATGGAGAAGGTTTGAGCATTAATCACTCGCTCAAGACGGGTTGGTGATTTCAAACTTATAATTTGATATCGATGTTTTCCTTCATCTGTCAGTGATGTCTAAATACACTTATAAAGTACATATGACTCGGAACATCACATTAGTACTTGCCAGGATCGAACCCGAGCCCTCATGTATGAGAGGCGGGCCTTTAACCACTAGGCTTATTATTATTATTATTATTAAATATACAGCAGGAAGTGTATGAAGTTTTATTTAAAAGTCAAGTTATTTCTTAATATATTTCGCCTTTATTAAAATGTCAGTAACAACGCGACCTATTATATCTTTTTGAAATTACCTCGGATACGAGGAAACAATATTAAACAAAAAAATTATCTGTTATTATACAATATTTCGTTTTTATACAATATTTCGTTTTTATACAATATTTCGTTTTTAATCGGATTTTTATATTCGAATTTTCTTAATAAAGTCTTAAATATTAATCATCAGATGTACCTTATGATATTTTTCATATATTATATGTTTAAAAAACTACTACAAATAGTTACGGAAGCTTTTAACTAACAAGGATAATTAAAAATACATATTTTTTTTACGTAACATCAAAGGTCGTTTCATTATACATATATCTGTACTGACGCAAGTTATGTTAAAACAAATGTTTTTTGATAGATTCCAAATCATACAAATTTGTGAGTGATGTTAACATTGTATAAACCAGTCGCGTTTACGTAAAATATATAAAAAATTATTACAAGACCGCCATTAAGATAGAGTGTTACAAACGTCGTTATAATTTACAATCACGCAATCGTAACCTTCAAACTATTTAATCTGATGCGCCGCCATTGTTTCAGTTATATTTTTTTTTAATTCCAGAGGCAAAGCACTTCTGCATTCAGCCGATGTCGCCGTTTTGACATATCGTCCACGGCCGTTGTGGCGAAATTGATTACGATAGAGTACGCGACAGGAGTATACCCGTCTCTCTCTAACACGGCCTCGAGCCCGCTCCGGATGTGTTGCCATCTCTTTCGTCACTATGACGTAGCTTACGTACAGATGAAATATAATTATAATGGACGTCACAGGTGACCTGTATGCATTTTATAACTAAATATTTGCGTAACGTTACAAAATTAAACATATACAATAATATTTAAATATTAATATTAAAATTAAATGAAATTTTCTAATATTATCTAATAAACCGGAACCGCCTACAAAATGTATATTTCATTTTTATTGTAAACTTAAGTACAATGATTAACCAAAAAACTTAAATCACTAAAACAAATGTACTCACAACTTATACCGCTTTTATTTTTTTGTCGTATTTGCAATATAATAATAATCTTTTATACAATTCCGATATATTTAACATATTAATCATTGTACAGATATGTAAACAAAAGAAGAAAGGAAATTCTTTAGCCGTACGTGTCTCACTGTACGTCTGTACGTGATGTGATCGTATGCCTTATAAATTATAAACAACACATTATTTATATTTATTACTATTAAAAATCATTGAAGCATTCATCATCAGCCTATCAGAGCCCACTGCTGAGCCTCTTCTCACATGGAGAAGGTTTGAGCATTAATCACCACGCTTGATCAAGTCCAGGTTTCCTCACGATGTTTTCCTTCATCAGTCAGTGATGTCTAAATACTCTTATAAAGTACATATGACTAGGAAAAATCACATTAGTACTTGCCAGGATCGAACCCGCGTCCTCATGCATGAGAGGCGGGCCTTTTAACCACTAGGCCATCATTAATACATTACTATACAATGATATATTATTAAGTTTGTAATTTAAAATAAAGTATTAATATAGTAAATAAGAAGTCATTGTTTGAACATAGTAATTGTATAAGTTTTTCTAATATCCTTGGTTTATTAAAATTAATATTTATGTAACTTTGTATGTCATTGTTTTTATTTAAATTTACATACATATGTACGTCCGTCAGTAAAATAATTATATATAAGGATATTTAAAAATATATACTGTTTGTATTGTATAGTAATTTTTTTATTCCCAAAGAGGGTTGATGTCAGGCAGGCGGCCGGTCGTAAAAACAATTAGCCAAAAGTATTCACAACATGTAAGGCAGACCCTGGCTAAAGCTGGGAAATTGCCAAGAAGAAGTATAGTATAGTGATTTTTATACATTTAGTTATAAAGTTGACATTTGTTTTAAAGAGTAAATCCGGCGTAAAAGCTTATAGTTAATATTGTATATTTATAATAATACACCATACTCTCAGTTCTTAGAAGTTAAAGTTCAAAGTAACTTGTTATTTGTCATAGGAATTTTTTTCTAATTTTTTTTCAGTCGTGACACGTGACTAGTTAAATTGAATATTATTTAATGAAGATATATATAAGTATATGTAATATTTGAATATATAGTTAGTGAGTTTATCTTATATATAAAATTCTCGTGTCGAAGTGTTAGACAGAGAACTCCTCCGAAACGGTTCAACCGATTTTGATGAAATTTTGTGAACATATTGAGTAGCTCTGAGAATCGGCCAAAATCTATTTTTCATACCCCTAAGTCATAAGGATTGTTCACCCTTATATTTTTTATTTTCTGACGAAAATTTTGTTTTTACTTTTTTATCACCAATCCCTATTTTTATATGGCAAAACCACGTTTCCCGGGTCAGCTAGTATATAAATATCTCTTCTTTCTGTTCTACCTGGCAATTTCCCAGCTTTAGCCAGGGTCTGCCTTATTGTTGTGAATAGTTTTGGCTATTTGTATTTACGACCGACCGCCTGCCTGACATCAACCCTCATTGGGAATGCATTAATCAGTGATGTCTAAATACTCTCAGAAAGTACATATGACTCGGAAAATCATATTGGTACTTGCCAGGATCGAACCCGCGCCCTCGTGCATGAGAGGCGGGATTTTTAACCACTAGGCGACCATTTAATTAAATAAATATAATTAACTAGGTTGCGTCTGCTTAATACCGATTTCAATGAAGATGGTTGTGTCTAGAAGTATTGAATGTAATTTCTCTATTGTGACTAATACAATACTTATAACGATACATTGTTTAATATATTTATCATAATATTTATTAAAACTATGACACTTACATTGTATTTTATTTAATGATGATTTTACATACAAATATTTTTAATTAAATTTTCAAACAATGTGTTGTTTGGTCCTATTTGATCAATTAGTTTCATTAAAATGTAAATAAAAGTAATTTTTTCTGTTAAATAATATTAAAATAAACTTCGGTTATCTTTTATATGGTAAAAGATTTATAAATACTTATCAAACTAGTTAAAGTAAAGACATTCAAAATTATTATGTTTACGAGAAATATTTAAATTCCTACAAATATTATAAATGCGAAAGTAACTTTGTCTGTCTTTCTGTCTGTTACGTTTTTACGCCTAAACCACTGAACTGATTTTAATGAAATTTGGTACAGATATAGAGTTGATCTTGAGAAAAAACATAGAATAGTTTTTATGCCAGAATTTTGAAAGGTTCTCTTGGAAACGCGATATAACCGAACTCCACGCGGGCGAAGCTGCGGGCGGAAAGCTAGTGAATAATAAGTTTTAAGACACATACTTATATATAATATATATTACCTCATGAAAATTAATTTAAAAATAAAAATAATATAAATATTTAAGATGTTTGTCAAAAAAAACTAACTTCTACGATTTTATAAATTCTAATTGATTATAATGACTTGAACTTGTTTTATCTTCAGGCCCGCATTCTTGACAAACTTGATCAGGAGGCTTCAAAGTAAGGCTTTATTCATTCATGAGACATGTGATAAAACATTATAATACTTTATACTACCAGTTTGATCGAAACTTATTACCAACAGTTTTGACGTACATATTTAAGTCACTAGTAGCCTAGTGGTAAGGTCCGCCTCTCATGTAAAGGCCCGGGTTCGATCCTGGCAAGTACCAATGTGATTTTTCCGAGTCATATGTACTTTCTAGAAGTATTTAGACATCACTGATTAATGCATTCCCAAAGAGGGTTGATGTCAGTCAGGCGGCCGGTCGTAAAAACAATTAGTTAAAACTAGTCATAATAAGTAAAGCAGACCCTGGCTAAAGCTGGGAAATTGCCAGGAAGAATATATGTGTACATAAAACTTGTAAACTACGTGTTTACGTATATAAACTCACATTAAGAGTATTGAATAATTATTATTATAGTATCGTAAATTTATTTCAAAATCTAAAATGAACTATTTCAATATAATGTATATATGAAGATGCGTATATTAATATTAAACACATAATAACTATTTATGATCCGTGCAGTCGGTTAAATCATTTGTTTTTTATCACAACACATAAGGAAGTTTTACATCGCATAGTTTTTGTTAAATCTACGTATATTTTAACGTTCAGATATATATTTAGGAGCAATTATTATTAGAGAAAACCGGTTATTATTAATTAATTCTATGTTCATATAGATCTGTTTTCAATTCATAAAAACTTAGTTGGTAATTAATGAGATAAAATTCCTACTAATATTATAAATGCGAATGTAACTCTTTCCGTTTGTATGTTACGCTTTCACACCTAAACCACTGAACTGATTTTAATGAAATTTGTATAGAGATAGAGTTGACCTTGTGAAAGAACATAGGATAGTTTTATCCCAGACTTTTGAAAGGTTCTCTTGGAAACGCGATATAACTGAACTCCACGCGGGCGAAGCTGCGGGCGGAAAGCTAGTTATATATAAAAACTGACAAAGGAGTAAGGGCCTCAATAAATTTATGATAAAAATTTTAACATAAAACTATCTAAGTTAATTTAATCATTTAAATATATTTCTTTGTAATATTTAAATATTATTTAAGCTCCAGAGTCTCAATAAGGCTTCATATAACAACTAGTAA